TGTGGAAACTGGAAAGTTTAAGCAGATCTCTATTACTTAGAAAAATTGAAACTATGTGTATTTGATCATAATGAACTGTTAGTGTTCCTATAGCATTTTCAAAATAGAGTATTGGAAGTAATTAAGCTGTGTGGTCTCTAAGGAATCAAAAATGACTTGATGGCACGTAACCAATAGCTGAAAATAAAATGGTGCTAGAAGATGCGCCTTATTAATTTGTCATGCCAGCAATATCTGAATTATTTTCCTTCCAACTGCAAACAAACAACACAGCATGGTATTTGTCCTTCACCCTGTTTAAAGATCAAGATACCAAATAATTGTAAAATAAGGGACCTTGCAGAAAAAGGACATTTGGAAACTGTCAAGGTTTCCATACACAGATAACTTTCAATATCTGATCAACTGACACTTAAAATGACGTTGAAAACCGTGGCCGGAAGGAAACCAAATCTCTTTTCCAGAATGCAAATGTATATTCACCAGAGTTAAATAAAGTGATTCCCTGCGATTCCTCCTCAAAATCTAGGATCCCAGGATCCTGTATATCCATCCCCACTTCCCACTTTGCCAAAGCCCTGAGATCCAGAGAGCCACTCACCAGACAGAGCCATAAGCCCCAGATCCTACAGGGATGATAGCAGTATATCGTCTAGGAAGTTCCCAAATTGTCTTGTTTACTTCTTGCCTGAAGAAGCCTTTTCGCCTGGTACAGCTCATCTCCTCTGTGCCTGGAGTAGGACTCTCCAGTACACCAAGCTCCAAAGAAACTCAGGGCCAATCCAAATTTTACCACACTCAGCCAGACAGAAAAACAACTTCTCTTAGGAAAGTCAACTGTAGATTTCCTTCTCAACTGTGTTGTGAACAATGAGTGTATACGATGAGACAAGGAGACTTATAGCCCGCCTCCTTCTACCCACACATCAGCTCAGGAGGAAGGAATCAGGTTTCAAATTAGACACTCCCCTGGCAGGTACTTTCAAAGGACTCACCTTTTCTGTGTGAAAGGTAGTAGCTTTTATAGTAATAGAAGTAGCAGCCATGCCTGCCTAATATAGATTTGCTGCTACTACCAATACTTGTATGAAGTCTTAATAAACTTGCAGCATAAATGAGTTAAAAGACTTACTGTAGCTTACTTTTATTCCTTGTATATATATATATATATATATATATTTAAAAACTTTAATAACTTTACTAAACTTATCAAAGTATAAAATACAAACAATGGAACTTAATCAATCTTCATTTATCTGATTAACATTTCATGTGTTGATCTCACTTCCTCCTTCGGTAAGAAAGAACATCAAATAAACACTTGGAGCAGTTTTACTGTATTGCAGTGACAGATAATACACGTTGATGAGAGAATATTGGAAGTTTAAAGGCAAAAAATAGTTTTCTGCAGCAAAAATTCTGATACATTAAATTTATAAGTTTATTTGGGATACAGTTGATTGAATACGCAATGGACAATACTTCTAGTTTAAGAGAAACGTGTTATCTTGTAAGAGGTGTACAGTCATGATCTAAAGGGGAAGAGTTAATCAGCTGACTGGGTATTACTTTCCTGCCTGTCATCCATTGCTGGTAGTTGTTTTGAGTTGCCAGTCATGTACGTTTCCTTGATCACATAATCACATGCCGGTTGCGAGAGCTTGCAATTAGGTGGATAAATTAATTCAGCCTGTCATTATGAGAGGTTTGGTCATACTGAAAAATGTGTGTCTGCAGTTAATAGGTTCCTGCAGAGAATGACAATCACAGACAATTTTGTCATGCTCTTGGACCGTTCCATCCTTGTTCTTAAACAAAGGACATATAGTGCTTTATAAAAGGCACACCTTATACTAACATCAGCATGTGTGTAGGCCAGGTTTTTTAGAAGACTGTCATGAGTGAAAAGTTTTTTTTATAGTCATATAATAGCTAAATATTTAAGTTGTATCCCAAATAAACTAAATTTATTATTTATTCTTGGGCTGCAATTTGGAGAATTTCTGCTTTGCAATTGAGTGAAAAGGTCTTTAAAAAAAATAAGTCCACTTTATAGGCAACAAGTTTAATTTAAATATGTTTAAATATGTTTTTAAATATGTTTTATATCAGCAGGTGGCAGCACCTGTAAAATGTTCAAGTGGAGGCTCTTCAGGCTGGAGACACAGAGGCCGTCCCATCTGCTGGTATGTCAGCTACGAGAAACGTGTATCAACAATGACTTATTTCTGGCCAACGACAAAGAAAGTGGCTTCATTCTGGCAATTTCAAGTTTGATCTAGACAGGGAAGAAGCAGCACCTGATTGCCCTTGCTTGAATTCCAAAGCTAATATCACACCTAGTTAATTCTTGGAGGAACACAGCCAGGAAATTCCAGAGTTGTAAACTTAACAGGGAAGTCAGGGGTAAAAACACCTAATGGAAAACAAAAGAGTATACCTTTTCCACAGGGTTGTCAGCAAAACTGCGATGAAATCTCCAAATATCACAGGTGGCAGTGCTACTTTTGAGTTTTGTGATGAAAAACTGGTTACAAGCACTACTTACCTTCACTGTGGTATTTTTTTTTAAAGCTTCATAAAATATTCTGAAATTTGTTATAATGGCATGTTACTTTATTAAATAGTGATTTTACTGATTAAAAAAGTCTTAAGTCAGCCATTTTCTGAGATTCAGAAGCTTTAATCAGATATAGGAGAGATCTTGAACACGCAGGGTAGAACTGGTGCCAGAACTTATTTCCAAAATGTCTGGGTTGAGTGCAACTGTGATCCTTCAGGACTTGGATATGGTGTTCCAGAGATCTAACCTTGGGTGCCTGGGGTATGAGCACTTCAGCTTGGGTCGTTGCTGGGCATGGTGGGCCAAAGGATTGGAGCAGGCTTATAATGCAGGGGTGAGGTGAGAGAGGCTGCCTCTGAGGGGCCTGGAGGAGCTATAGGAATGGCGGCAAATGGGCTCATCTCTCCCATTAAGTACAATTTTGAGTTTTGTTGTTCCCAATAAAAATATTTTGTTTTGTGAGATTTAAGTTTTCAATCATTTTGTTTGGTTTATAGATTGGAATTTGATCAGTGAGCATGATATGTTATTTTTTTATTTGGCCAAGTATAAATAGTGTGTTTCTCCAACAATATGGCCTCCCCCAATAGGAAGTCCCAGCATGTTTTATAGGCATAAAATGAAGACCCCCCCCCCAATTAAAGCCTATTTTAAAACATGCAAAATGGGGGGGAAGGGCAGGGGGCTTGCCGTTAGGAGCGCCCTGCGGGCAGCCATGCCTTACCACCAATCTCCCTACTGTCACCAAGTACTTTTGCTGCACACCCGGGTATGGTGCTGCCTGCATTGACCTCGGCGTTGGTGGGGCACTTCATATCGGGAGACCTTCCACCACCGTTGCTTTCCCTTTTCTCCGTGCCACCGTGGCGTTTGGAGCATCGCCGCGGCGTTTGGCACCACGCGGGGGCGGCCAGAGCTCCACCCTGCAACCAGAGCCCAGCGGAGACACTCAGCTTCAGGCGCTCCTGTCGCCGCCTTCCTGGGCATTGTTCTAAGGCAAAGCCTATTCTTTTAAAAATGCCCTACTACAACACAGCCTCCCCTGCCCGAGAGGGCAGCCCAACCCCACGTGGGGAGGCAAATCTCCCAGGGCTGCAGCACAGGATCGGCCCACCCCGGGAGAAGCACCCAGCTGCCATCCCTGCCTGGCAACGGGCAGAGTGCAAAGAGCTTCACCTGGGGTGCCCAGCACATCTGACAGGCAGGCCCTCCTGCCCAGGGGCGGAGCTCTGGCAAAAGCAGCAAGCGCCTCCCCGCTGGGCCTTCTGCTCATCCCGCCAGGGCCACGCCGAAGCCAGGCGGGCTGGGCAGAGCCGGGAAAGCATGCCGTGGGTGCATGCCCGCCTGCCAAGCTAAAGAGCCGGGCCGACCCGAGATTGGCTTCCCAAGTCCCTCCAGCCCGACACCGAAGGAGCCACCGGGAGAGGCCACCCGAGGCAGTGATAGCACCCACCCATCTGCGGACAGTGAGGCGAGGCGATGGCCTGCGCCGTGTCCTCCTCTGAGCTGAGCTGAGTGAGCGCCGCTGTCTGTGCCGCTGCAGTGTTTGGAGCATTGCCGCCACGTTTGGAGATGTGTGGGGATGGGGACGGGCTGGGTGAGAAGTGGAAAGGTGGGTGGCTTCAGGCTCTCTCCGCCCGACCCACCAGCCAGGGAAGCAGCGCTGCCGTCGCCTCACCTCCCTGTCTGTGGACAAGTGGGTGCTATCACTGCGCCAAACGCTGCAGCAGCACGGGGAGAAGGGAAAGCAATGGTGGTGGAAGGTCTCCCAATACGAAGTGCCCCACCAACGACAAGGTCAACATCCAAGCTGTCACCACCCGTCCGCCCGAGGATGCAAGCAGGGTGGAATTAAGTCACCCCCAAAAAGACAACCTAGGCGTTTTTTCGGGGCTCCAAAAAAAATAAGACCTGGCCTTATTATATGACAAACTCATATGAACTCTGGCGTTTTGGAGTGGAGTTAGGGAGTCATCACACAGCTCTATTTATCATTTTGTAGGGTTGCATCATTCATCCTAAAAAATTATAATCCTTTGTATGGTTATAGTTTGAATAATATGGATGCAGCAGATGAAATATAAGTATTTTGCTTCTAATGATTAGATTTGCATTTATGTTTAAACATTCATCAATAAATACCATGTTATTTTTGATAAATTTATGTATAATATCAAGGATTAGAAATAGGAATGCAATCATTTTCTTAAACTAAGTGGGTCATGGTGCAAATGTTAATTTCTTAAAGATGTGTATAAAAAAACCCACTGTATGCAGAAATCTTTTTATCTTTTAATATTTTAAAATCATTTATATTTTGCGCTTACAAGGGTGACCACCACTATTTATTTACAGTACCTTTATCACCATGCACCACAAGACCCATGGCTTAAAAAAAACTAACCATTTTTATTAATTAGATTAAACTTCATACAGACTTAGTTTGGATTTTTATTCCAGGGCTGACTCTCAGGGATGAAGCAAAGCAAGTGCAGCATTTAAAGGCAAATCAAATGTGACTAGTTGGGAAAATTATTGTTACGTGCACTATTGGGATCTAACTGTATGTATCATCATAAAACTTTATCACAATTAAACAACAATTTATAAACACCACCAGTCCATTTAGTCTGAAAAATAACTTTATTTTAAAACCAGTTGCATTGTGTGATATCCTATTTGGCAAAACCAGTTAGGGCAGAATTCCTCTTTAAAGTGTGTATTTTCATTCTAAGGAGTGCACTCCACAGGGGCCCCTCCATCTAAAATCTCAGCTTTAAAAGTTTCACTCACATATAAACTTAATTTTTTTAATTCCCTTTGTAGTATTTATGCATTAGAGTCACAGCTACACATAAAATGACAGATAAAAATAAACTTCCTGTATATTTGACAGAATATATCTACATTTCCATCTGAATTCCCAGACTGCATGTTCAACAGACAGGTGATTTTGTTTAGTTTACAGAAGGCCTCTGACAAGAAGCATTGTTCTCTGGACCCCAAGCTAAGTTTTCTTTGCAGAGGGGTCTGAACTAAAGAGAAAGGAAAGATCTGATGGCTTCATTATCCATACACCCCTTCCTTCCTTTTAAAAATACAGCTTCTCTGTACAAAAGGGATAAATACACAAAATCCCAAATCCATCAGAAAAAAACAAAAATATTGCAGAGCTTTCAAATAGGCATACAATTCATGCATGATGCCTGAATTATATAAATCTCAGGAAATATTTTAAAAATAGGTTCTTGGATATTCAGAATACCTGATGAACACAAATACTTGAAATGAGGCCTCCTACTCATCCTTGTGCAGGGAATTTTTTCTTGAATTCATGAATACAATGAACTGAGTTCTTCTTCAGGCACATACCAGTTGATAAATGAACTGATTTTTAAAGCCACGGATAGAAAGTTAAATAAAAATGCATATTTATCAGTTCCTTTCTTGTTAAAAGTGTCCAAAATATTAACCATAAATTGGACAAAGTTAGATGGATGCTAAATTGTATGGCTCTAACTCTGATAACTGAATACATTAATTTATTGGCTGAGTTGCCTCTTCCAAAATAATATAAGCAAGCCTACATGCTTGTACAGCTACAACATGCAAAAACCCACATTTCAACTGAAGATGGTATAGAAAACAGTAGCATAGCAGAGGTGAGACATCTCAGAGTTGGGCAGAGAAATAAGAAAGAGAAATGACCAAATTGCTTCATGAGGGATGGCTGGAATATCTGTGTCTTGATTACAGTAGTCAGGCAGGGATACCTAGGAATTTTGAGGCCTGCACTCCAAAAAAAACACCTCCAAATTCCATTGTTGAGACTCAGACTTAATTTTACTCTCAATCATTTAAGGCAGTGATTCTCAACCTCAGATACTTTAAAATGTGTGGACTTCAACTCCCAGAATCCCCCAGCCAGAATGTAGATTGGAGAAATCCAGGAGTTGAAGCCATATTCCTTAAAGCTGTCAAAGTTGAGAAACACTGATTTAAGGCACAAACTTTTTTTAAAAAACACCAACACCAACTGTTTCATATTAAAGACAGCGAGACGTTCAGGAGTCAACTTTTCTGCTATTATAAAATAGTGGGGAGACTTTGTGGGAATAAGTAACTGAAATAAATCTGCTGCCCCCTCATCTTGGAAAGCAGGGAGCACAGTTCAAGTAATAGTTCAGTTTCCATTTTCTAAGTCTTTTCTTGGTAGAAGAGCCATTTAATGGCAACAATTTCTACTGAGCATCTGAAATCTCAGCTTCCCTGCATACTATCTGCCTAGACCTAGAGCAATGAAAGCTGATTATCAGCAGTAAAGGCAAAAAAGCAATCAAACAGGTCTGCAGAAACATGTCCCAAACTGTGTACAAAAATACAAGAGAACATGCAATTTTATACAGTTTCTGTATAAATATTTCCCTTTGAATCTTTCTTTTCCTTCCTTTTCATTCAACACACTCACACATACGCACACATACACACATGCACACATCCTCCCCCAAGGAGAATCTTCATGGCAAGAGGCACTTGAACAGTATGTGGAGAATTCCTATGAAAAAGATGTTCCCCTCACAGTGATATGGGACAAAGAGAAACAGGTGCTCAGGATTCCATTTCCTCCTGGTCAAGTGGTGGTGGCACAAAGCTAACCACTTCATCATAGGTCAGGCCTGGTGGATGGAGAAAGAAACATGGGTTGAGGCTTTCAGTAGCTCAGAGATAACTGCTTCCCACTCTTCTACCCCAGATGATGAAAAGAAATGACTCTAAAGTTATTTCAATTTGGTCAGATAACCATAGTTTTCTTTAGAAAAGGATGCTGATAAAGGCCACATCCAACAATTGCCTGAAACTTCCCCTCCTTCTTGGCCTCTTCCTAATCTCTGGGACAGCTGTATTTCTAAAACACACTGGAAAATGGATTAAAGAGTCCTTTCTCCTGGCAGAATGTTACTAGATTTTTTTAATCTTGCAGACTGTAGAATTACAAGTCAGACCCAAATGTTTTTTTACAGGAAAATGACAAACTAGATAACAGTAAATATAGTTCAATTTTCATAGTATAAGATGTTTCCCAAGTTTTAATTCAAACATTCAGTGCGGACATGTGAGTAGGGAAATACACACAGGAATCTGGATATACAGTATACTTTAGCCACATCCCAACTACCTTTGTGCAAACTGTTTTAAACCTTTCTGAAATACAAGTACTGTATTTGTCCCAAAAGAAAATTAGAAATGAACAGCTTAATTTCCCTATCGTCTCAATAGCATTGTCAACTCCTACTGAAAACACTCATAAGGGGGAAAAAACAATCCCCCAACAAATATACGGCTCTGACTCATTTGTATACAGATATACAAATTTGTATACATTAAACCCTTGACTTATGACTAAAATTGAGCCCAAAATTTCTGTTGCCAAGCAAGACAGTTATTGTGAGCTTTCCTCCATTTTACAACCTTTCTTGCAGCAATTGTTATGTGAATCACTGCAGTTGTTAAGTTAGTAACTGTCATAAAAACATGCCAGTTGCCAAGTGCCTGAATTTTGATCACAGATGACGATGGGGATGCTGCAGCAGTCCTAAGTATGAAAAACAACCATGTCACTTTTTTCAGTGCTGTTGTAACTTCAAATGGTCACTAAAAAATGGTTGTAACTTGAAGGCTGTCTGTAAATGGATTGGGCAATTATAAAATTGTAACTTTGTTTACAATTATAAAATTGTAAACTGTAAAAATCTACACTTAGCAAGTATAAGCAACTATGCACACTTACTTTGCAGTAAGTCCTATTGAACAATAGCTCTTATTCCAGATAAATGTCCAGAGTAGACTATTGTTATTTGTGCGTGTGCGCGTGCATATATGCAATTTAGCTTATTCCAGCAACCTGGATATAAATTGGAGAAAAGTTTCTTGAGATACCTTTTCTCTCCCTTCTGTTTGCTAAAGAAAACTGAGTGACAAAGAGGCCCTTAAATTGGATTGCAAGCACACCTGTATACAAGAACTGCAAACACAGAAGAAGTATACTTGCTCTGTATTATGTCCCCCATTGATTCAATGGTGCTTACTTTCAGTCAGTGTGCTCAGGATCCCACAAGTATGCAGCAAGTGTCTACAACAACTGAGGCCCTCTCTCTATCCATTTAAAATTCTCCATTGGTAGAAGGTTCGGATTCTCCTGGGTCCACCCTTCCCACGGAGCCTCCATAATTAGTGAGGACCTCCACTACAGTCACTCAGTCTCCACAGTGGAAGTTCCTGACAGAAGAAGCTCCTCCCTCAGCTTCAGCTTCCTGCCCGTTTGCTTCCTTTCCACAGCTTGTTTTTCTCATCATATTGTCAGTCACAGGAGAAAGACAAAGCTAACGTGCTTGTTCCCATCTGCCTTTCTTCTATCTTTGTTTCAGCCATTTATTTTCTTTATTTACAACTGTCCCCGTCCCCCATAACTGTCCTTTACCCGCCCCTTCCGATTACTGAATTCTTAGTGAATGCAAAATAAAAAAAACCTTATTTTTTATTTTTGGTAGAATGCAAAAACTAGAGGGAAGAGAAGGACTTTGCAAAGTGTTCTTTCACCAAGCATCATCAGGAGTGTTTTAATATTAATGGTAAGTCATAGAGGCCTTGACTCATTTTATGCAACTGTACTAACTTTTCTGAGTTTCTCTGTTGAAAAGGCCTGTTTCTGCACATCCTTCCTATTTTGCCAAACTAGATTTCATTACTTCCTGACATCTTTATTTTTTCACATGAACTACAACAATGATGTTGGTGAATGGCATCAGCAATACTTGGTTCACCACATCTGTCTCCCAGAAAACTTACTTTTCCACTCCTCAATATCAAGTTCTCTGCTTTCAAAGGACTGATCATAAGGATCTGCCACTGGTTCATCATCTGGGTCATGATACTGAGAAAAATAGCCATGGGCCAAAGCTTCAGCAGCAGTAATCCGTTTATCTGTGTCCAGCACCAGCATCTTCTCCAGCAAGTCTACAGCTTCAGAAGCCAAGGGGAGAAAACAAAAAGAGGGATTAATGTGCAATTCCTCATAAAATCCCAAATCAACTTATAGAAAATCAGTATTTCCCAATGCCAATATGTTGCCATTCAGTTTGTATGCAAGAAGAAGAAAATGAATTTAATATCTATAAAACAACATTCTAAGAAAAGAATTGGAAAATTTGAATTCAGCAGGAACCCTTGGTTGAGTTTCTGAGTGTAAGTGAATGTTGAAAGCACTGAGGCTTCTTTTTGTGTGTGTGTGTGTGTATATGGCATACATGGCCAAGAAAGTCTGAAATACTCTTTACAACAAGTTTGTTAGTTCATGGGTGCACGCTATCCACAGTGCACCAAGGCAGTGAACTAGCTTTGCACCAACTGGCAAGCAGAGTTCGGAGTATATCGGATCATCGGGCTTTCTTCTGCCAACTTTGCCTCACATCCAGAAAATATTGAGTAATTAAAAGGCAGGGCACTCCATTTAAAATGAAGAATGTTCATATTATTTATTTAAAAGATCTGTATGGCCACCCATCTTAGAACACAACTATGGGCTTAGTTATTTTGAATGCAAAGTCTGTGCTTAACCTATCAATGAAAACTAAGTGACATTATGTCAAACTGAATCCAGGCTTGGAAGCTGACACATTATACATATGAAGTAAAACATAAGAAATAAATGAAGATATAAAAGAATAACTTTTATCTAAATTATTTCTTTAAGAAGAGGAAGCGTGTGGAGTTCTTTTTTGTCTCTTAAACTAAAATATTCATTTAATTAATAAAAGGCCAGGTGAGAATCAGAGGGACAGCTGTTCCCCATATTTATCACTCACCTAGTAGATAAAGCAGCTCATAGATGCAAAAAGATGAAACAATCTCCAACAAAACATAAACATATATACATAAACAGACATACACAAAAATGATTCTGGATGATATAAAATATTAAAAACAAAACAATAACAGATAACAGAAAAGGAAATAGTCGTCCTAGTGGAATAGACATAAAACTCTCTCTTGGACAGGGTCCACATTTCCTGCTAGCCTAAAGCCCAGGAAAAGACCTAGGTCTTCAGTGTTTGCATAAACTACAGTAGAACGCAATAGAGCTGGGGTCATTCAAATCCCTGGAAGGATACTGTTTCAGAGCCAAGGTGCTGCAAAAGAGAAATCATGCTTCCTGGTTCATATTGTTTAATGGATAAGATCTGGGATATGCTGACTCTGTCTGATCTTACAGGATGTGCACACACAAGGGAAGACAGGTGGTTCCTCAAACAACTAGACCCTATGCTGTATAGGGTTTTGCAGAATAGCTAGGACCTTGAATTGGAATCTAACGGTAACCAGTAACTAGTGCAGGCTTGCAAAGCAGAGGTGCTACACGGGCACCCCATAGCATGTCTTTAATTGCTCATAATGGTGCATTCTGAACCAACCTAACCTTCTGAATTGCCTTCAAGGGCAACCTCATATAGAGTGCATTCTGGCAGTCCAAACATGAGGTAATCATGGCTTAATGGCTATTAGAAAAGCCTTCCATTTCAGGAACATGTGCAATTGCTGCACAATGAGAATCTGTACAAATTTCTTCTTAGTAACAGCTGCTGCTGACTCTTTGATCAGGAGCTGTAGGAAGAATTCAAGAAAACCTTTAAATTTCATGTAAGTTTCATCAGGGAAACTCCAGCCACATTTAGAAGTACATATGAAAAGTCTTCAGAACCAGACAACCTTTACATGGTTAGCCTCTTGGTTGGTTTGCTTGGGCACCAACTCCAGGACCTGGGATCAAATGCTGACAGCATCACTGAGGTAACCATGAAGTTCATGAATTACTGGGCTGCTCCAGAGACAATACATCAGATGTGGGCAGGATGAAATTCCTTTGAGATTCCACTGTTAACTGGCAACAAAGTCAAGCAACTTATGTAGTGATCTCACTGAGTAGCAGGTAAGCTGGTACAGCAGCAACAAATCAACTGCTCCCTAAAGCCTAACTTCAGGCACAGGGCCTTCCATCTGGTTATCTGTGGTTCAAAACCTTGAAAAGCCATAAGAACTTTGCAGATGAAAACTGCCCCCCTCCCCAGGCCATGCCAAAAACTCAGGAGGGCTTATTTCAGACAGAGGGATGGTCCTTCTGGGCTCTTCCAGGTCTTGATTATGTATTCACATAATTTTATTATGGCTGAGGCAACCAACCTTCATTCACATAATCAGATTGGTTGCCTCAGCCAGAATAAAATTACCAAACTTGGCATTTATTAAATACATGTATTTCAGAAAATATAGGTTGGGTTTAGGACTTTCAGTTACTATACTGGTAACTTCTTGTTTTCTCCAAATTATTTAGTGCTACAATTGGAATTTCCATCTATGGACTCTCTCTATCCATAGAAGGTCCTGATACTTCTTAGTTCTCAATTGCTAGAAAAACCTCCCCTTATAACAAGTTTTATGGCAAGGCGCAGAATCTATTATTAAATTATTAAAACAGGTGAATGACCCAAACCAAACATTCTTGGTTCACATTTGATGCTAAAGGAACCATGAAATGAACATCTGGGGTGCTTAACTTTATCTCCTGGCAGAAGGAATGAAGTGGGAGAGATTTAGTGTTATGAATAAGCCTGAATGAATGTATACAAATGAAACCAAAGTCATCTTCACTATGCATGTGTGAAATGTATGCTTTATCTGTCATGCCAAAATAGTGTTCACAAACTTGGTTTACATGCATTTTATATTCTCCACTGTGGTGGAACGACTGTTAAGTCTTACCTAGAGGATTCGCACCAATAAATACATTTTCAAAATTCATCTTCGGCATGTAAGACAAGGACTGTATGTAATTTCTTGCCTGGAGGAAAATAAAACATGTTATTAAACTACCAGTATGCTTCTTAATCACTGCAAGTTTCTTTGTAGGCCTGTTTTTTTACTTTGACTTCATCTGATTTTTGAGTTTTTTAATTACTATCTAACTTTATCTTCTCATTTTTATACTCAGCATGATAGTGATGATATAAATGCTAGAATTTGGGTCTTATGCATTGCATAAGCAATACCTATGATATGCTAGACGATAGCAATGGCACCTGAATGATCTTAGATGGTTAGAACATTGATTCATTGCAATATATTACAGCAGAGTAACATCTGCATGGGACAAGTATATCAATTAAATGAGAGATGTACAATTGTATTAAGAAGAATAGACAAAAATGTATGACTTTCAACAATTTAGATTTGCTTCTGGTTACGTCTTCACTGAACTACAGTAATTTGCCTACATGTAAAACTTCTTGTGAAGACAGTTTGAAAAGTTCAGTTGCTATAAAGCGCAGCTTTTAAAAGTTCTTGGGAAATACATGTTCACAGCACCTTTTTCTAAAATTTTACAGTTTGTACAGATCTGTTATTGGTTTTCTAGTACTAAAACTTTAGTGGAGTGGGACAAGATTTCACCTGAAGCACTAACTGTACTAATATGAGCTTCCTCAAAACTGCCTTAATGATCCTCACATCAAAAACACCTTTCCCATTATTCACACCTAATGTATTGTTTCTTTTAAAAATATACAGAGTTCCCTTTGTATTATCCTTTAAATAAATTATAAAGACAATGTTGTTGCAATTGTACCTACTACTGGAACACGAAATGCTGGAATTACATGGAGAGAAGTGGAGGAACCAGATCCTCAGGTCAATAAGAACTTTTAGATTGGGAGTAGACTGTTATAAATAGCTTTATAATTGTTTAAATTTGGGTGCCCTTGGAAAGTTAAAAATATTAAAGTGAATAAAATAATCAAATGTTTTAAATTGCAGACCAATGTGCACATCCTCCTAAGATCTCACCTCATGGCTGGGCATCCTGTTAATGAGATATGCAGGGGGTGTCCCCGTCAGACGCATGATTTGCTGAAGCTGGTTAATATCTTAAAATGCCTTGTCAAGGGCTTTGCTACTATTTCAACAGTGTCAATGCTCAAATTAGCTTTCACTCTTTTGCTACATAGTGGAATGCCTTGAGGGTACAGCAGCTAAGAATCTTTCCTATAGATATAAACTTTCAAAGCATACATGCAATATTAGAAAGCACAAAAATACTAGTTTGTCAGTGAATAAAAGAAATCAACTAAAGCCAAGTGTGCACAAGTGACTAGCAAAAAAAAAAAAAAGAGAGCACACATTAGTCTATTTAATTCCATGATTGACACTTCATTCTAAATCACAATTTGCCTGTATAGGGAAGGAAGAAAAAATTTTAACCAATTCATGATATTGTAAATACCAAACTAAACTAAGGGATACCAGATTTTTCAACTTCCAATGAGTATTTTGCCTTTAGGCAGAAGCTCAATTCCTTAACTTTTATGGCAGATGTATATCTTTATCTGCAACAAGACGTCAGATTAATTACTCACTCATTGCTGATTTTTTGTTATCAAGCTAAAAGTCACATGGGAAAAGATGGGCAACTTGTTTTCTCCCAGATAAGGCAAGTATAAACAAGAGGCTGTATATGATAAGATTAATTAGAAAGGGAATTGAAGCACACATTGGAAAGTGTAAAGACTCTATTTTCTCTTCCTTTGGACAACTAGTATAACTGAGCAATTCTGGGAAAAATTTCAATCAAAGAATAAAGCCTTGGTATTGCTAATTTCCATACTAAAAAATAATGCAAGTTAAGGCAACTAGTAATTATCAAGATCTCATATTGTTAGCCATATAAAAAGTGAGCATGAAAAGAGGAAAAATTTGTCCTAACCAGGCTTAGGAAAATACCATGATATCATTTTAAGATATTACTAATACTGACAAGAACAGCAAGACTTATCTATTCTCAAGGATCAGCTGAGCTATAGGGAAACAAAACGTGGCTTCCCTATCTCTGAAACACAGATTCCAGGTTAGAAGGCCAGAATTTCGAATTGTTCTGTGAACACCTTGATCTTCAATACTGTCTTTTATTTATTCTCAGAAAACCAATCCCTAATAAGTCTTATACTTTGTGTATGTTAATGTTACATTTATCAGATCTGTATGTCACATTAGTTATTCAAACCAATGACTAGGCTAACCAAAATCTTTGTCTCAATTATTTGTTTGAAAGCTTTTTCAGATGACAAGATGCTGTTTATCGACGTGCTATACTCTTTAATAACGTTTTGCATTATCCAGCATGCTCTTTCCCGAGATCTGGAGTTGGCAACTAGCAGAGCAAAACCCAGCATGTATAAAGGAGTTGATGTGACAGTTGCAACCAATGAAGCTGTAAGGGGGGGAAAAGCCTGTTACCTGGAAAGTAGACCCTGATTTCCAAGCTGTCAAGCACAAAGACAAGTATTTTTTATTACACAACATACAGGGCAAATTAGTTTTCATGCTTTTACCAAACTGATGCACATGCTTTTCAAAGGACAGTTATTTTCCCTTTTCTCAATAAGCCGGTTCTTCTAAATCTCTCCAGAATTAGAATTTTTACTACATAGTTTTCTTCAAACTGTCATGTTTTTACCTATTTTAATAGTAAGTTTATTTACTTAATTAAATTTCATATTTCTTAACCATTGTTTCCCTTGAAGTTTTGAGCATGATTCTTTTTACAATCTACAGCATTTCTTTATGTTCATTCGGAATTTTCTTTTAAAAATAGTTGTTTTATACATCCACATTATATATACATTCCTTTTTTTTATCAAATCTTCCTGGACTGCATGAATTAAGCATTTTTCAACCACTCCTACAGTTTCTTTTAATTTCATTGATGATGAAATTATTTATACTGAAATTATATAAAAATTTTACTCATATAGAAAGGCAAAATGTGCTAGTGATTATGCTGCAAATGTATTTTAATTCTGCTTACAAAAAAAGACTAGAATAATTAGACTACAATTTTATCACTCCATGATTTGAACTTTAAATGGATTATGCAATCTGAAGCACCATTACATGAGGTAACATTCAGATTTCTCAGCAAAGGTCATGCCGACAAGGAATTCTTGCATGCATGAAGAGCACTCAAGTTTGGTGTGTGAAGGTTGGTTTGAAACAAGTAATAACTGCAATTCAAATACTTCATTTCATGGATTGTTAAGTCTGTGATAATACAAATTCAAGTTACAAAGACCCACCTCTAATGCACAATCCATTTAAAAGAGAGGGCACACTGTATTATCTATTCCAATAGCTTATTGGTACAAATTTTGGTTGATGGAACAAAAAACAGATTCTAGATTTTCCTGAACAAATGTAGGGCATGCATGGAAATAGGAGAAGTAAGGAAAAAGGACACCCATTTCAGAGTTTGTGCATGCACTATTGCATGTAGCCTTTCAATAGTATGTGTGAAAATGTCTATATAATAGCATATAATAAAGTATATTTAATGTTTAGCTAAGCCTAATATAGCCTACAGAGAAACAAAAAATGAATAATATGAGGAACTAGTTAATTGAAAAACAATATGGAAGACCAGTGAAAAATCAAGCTGCCTGTAGAAATAAAGAAGAAAATAAGCCAAACATAAAAAATATAGAGACAATCTTCATGACAGCAGAGCAAATAAAATAAAAGAAATCCACATAAGGGAGTCATTACAATCAAATTTTAAACTCACAGACTCTGAAGAGATTTTCTTCAAAAGTTCAGGGCCTGGGGTTCCAACGAGTCTCAAAATGAGCTTCAACTGATCAATATCTAACAATGGACCATAAAGGAAAATTCTGGGACAAATAAAATGAAGAAGCAGCAGCCCAATAAAATAAAAGGGGAAAAGTTCAACCAAATAATTATAAGCAAAATTAGCATATCTCTTATGTATAAATACATATCCCAAATACCTCCTGGAAATTCTATATAGCTAAATATATCTAGGCAATATGGAATACTAGAAGTAATTAACTTCTGGAGGTGGCCATTCATCAGAGCAACGCAATTTCATGAAATTATTCTCAACATTGTGACTTTTCCTCCACAAGCTATTATTTTTCTGTTCATAAAAGTAACACATAGTTCTGAATACAATAGCAGTAATGTAGAATACAGGCCTTCTTCAGAATTTTGAAAATAATGTCTTATAGATCAGGGGTCACCAACCTTTTGGACCTCAGGAACCACCAAACTCATAATTTTAAATCCTGCGGACCACTAATATGAATTTTGAATGATGGTGGCTTGCTGACGTTGGTGGGAAAGTCGGTCCCATATTCCAGAGCTGCAGTAGTCACAGGACTGGCTCTTTGGTCATCCCAGAGCAGCTGCTCCTCCACCCGGGTGCACAGGCCTGCCATGGACCGGAGGAGCTACTCCGGGATTACCAAAGGGCCAGTCTTGTGACTACTGCAGCTCTGGAATGTGGGACCAACTTTCCCACCGTCAGCAAGCCACCCCGAGGCAGATTTCCCCTCCCCTACTGTTGGTCTTACACTCCAGTTCCAGGTCGCGTGGCTCTACTTAAGGTAAGGTTTGCGTTTAGCCGAAGGGTGGGGACCAGTGAGTGTGTGGGCCATGTCAGCGGCACAGCCTTGTGTTCCTGCACTGGATTAATTGATTTGGGGGAACATTTCTCTGCGGACCCCCAAAATTTTTTTGCGGAACACCAGTGGTCCCCAGCCCACCGGTTGACGACCACTGTATAGATAATATAAAATTGTACAGCCGAAATAATTAGGTTTTTGTCTAACGGATGAAAAATATGACAAGAGTATAGTTAAAGTTCTAAGATCAACCTATCACTAATAGAGGTCTGTAAAGCATTTTTATTAGCTATCAAAGTATTTCCAAGTTAATTTAGGTTTCCTCCATATCATTCAAACCATTTCCTAATGCAATACACTTTTGCACTATAATACCTAATTTATATACTGAAGACTGAAATGGTTTTAAGTTAGATGTACTTAGCTCAGAGTTATTAGCAAGATGAAGATTCAGTGTCAGGTACAAAAACTGGCATGCATGGGTGCTACTCATTGTAATAATTACTATTATTTACTTCTAAAGCCTACATTAAGTAACATTTTTGAGACTACCGTTTCTCCAACAATATGGTCTCCCCCAATAGGAAGTCCCGGCATGTTTTATAGGCATGAAATGAAATTAAGCCCCTCCCCCCCAAATTAAGGCCTATATTAAAACATGCGAAATGGGGGTAATGGTGGGGGGGCTTGCCATTAGGAAGTACTTTTGTTGCACACCCGGATATGGTGCTGCCTGCGTTGACCCCAATATGAAGTGCCCCACCAACGCCGAGGTCAACATCCAAGCCATCGCTGCCCACCCGCCTGCCTGAAGGTACAAGGGGGAGAATTAAGTCACCCCCAAAAAGACGGCCTAGCCATTTTTTCGGGGTTCAAAAAAAAAAAGACCCGCCTTTATTATATGAGAAACACGGTAGTTTTAATATAGAACAATTTTTTTTGCTTATAGCCCACTAATTCAATTATCTCCCTCAGTTTATCCCAAACTAGTGAATTATTTGTATTACAAATATATTATCCAAAATCAATAAGAAAAATGTTAAGACAATACATAATTATTTGAAACAGGAAGAATTTCAGCTTGAATTTCAAGCAACCTATCTTATAAAAGTTGTGATGTACATTACTAAATAAAATTATTCTTATTAACTCCATAAAATTTAATTAATACAATTATTCTCACCATAGAGATACAAAGCTTTAATTCTTATCAGTAAAATGCTGTGTGTAGTTCCAAACAAACAAAACTAATTGTTCTAAATACCTTGCTTTCTCTACGATAAATGCTTACAGTATTTGAAAAATAATTTGAAAAATTAACTAAATTAGAGATTACATGTTCTTGAAACCATTTTATTTACTGCATTCAAATTATTTTTCTCCATTACCTATATATAATATTTTCGAAGAGAATTGAAGATATGTTAAGACAGCAACTGATGAACATTTTGTATCAGCAGTCAAAAATACTAAAATTTTATAATTTGAAACCAATCCAAAGAATCATTTGTTACAGAAGAAAGTTACAGAAGAAAATCAGTTACGGAAGAAAATTCTTATACAGAATTATAACTTTGACATGATTAAGATGATTGAATTATATTCTGGAAATGACGCCACAATTCCAAGTAGGCTCACCTTTGCAGTCAGATTAAAAGAGAAGCTAAGAGTAATCTATAACTATAAGGAGAACTTGGATTCTGAAATATGGAAGAAGTTGACCACTTAGAAGAAGCCAATGACAAAAGATTTCTGTACTGTTGACTTAAAAACTACATGGATATAGATGAAACATTTAGATAGACCAGGATGCCAAATAATTGGTGAGCTACCCCACTGCTCTATTTCTTAGAAGGCATCCCACTAAATTATTGGCAAAGAATTCAAAATTTTTATAAGGACATAGTCAGATCAATGATCACAGTTGGTACCAGAACTGAAAGATAAGGTTTTTTTTTAATTTTATAAGGGTGTATAGTATTGAAGCTTGAAATATGAGAAGCATGAACCAGGCAAAAATTAGACCGTCAAAATAAGCATGAAGTGCAAGCAAAATGTTACTTCATTTTTTATATGGAAGAATACAGTTATACATAGATAAAAATATCAAATGAATAATCAGATTTCAGAAAAGAAAGAGATAAATGAACAGATAGGTATCTGGTCAACAAAAACAGCAGATGGTCAACAAAAACAGCAGACAGATATTTACCTCTCTCTATTGAAAACAGTAAAACTCTTTATTATGCAGAATGTGGAATAAAATATAGTTAACCAATGTGGAATATAATACAGCTAACCAGTGTTTCAAAATACCTGATGATTCTTCTTTGGAGTAGCTACAATGAACAAGAAGGTATTGTTAAAAATCAAGTTAGAAGAAAACAGACTTGTTTAGGTAGCAAATGGAGAGAGACAAAGTACCTATTTAATTTTTACTATCTGTTTAATTTTTACAATTAATCTTTTATAATAATGAAAGACATGATAGATAGAATCAAATCTGAATTTTAAAACATGGACAACTTGAGATACGCAAATATTGTTTTGTTACTTAAAGTAAAGAATGCTCAGAAGAAGTGATTGTGAATTAAAAATGGAAAACAAAAATCTGGGTTAAATATTATAACAAAATTTATATCAATTAGCATGCTTAGCAAATTAACACATGATGGCAAAGAAATACGAGGACAGATATTTTTTATTTTCTTAGACTTGCTGAAGAAGGAAAGAGAGGATTAGTCCTGGACAGGGAGGCAATGAGCATCTTAGACAAGGTGATGATAGATAAGGGAAAACGTATGACAAAGATTTTTCATTTAATTACTGTACAGTTAATGACCAGCAAGATAAAACAACAACAGCCAAAGAAAACAGAATAAGTGAATCAGTTTTATGACTCAAAAAGTGTGACTTAATGGAACATAAAATATAAAATAGAACTTTACAAAACTCCATAATGTCCCTGTTTCAGAATTAAGACATATCAAAGCAGTGAGGAGTAGTTAAAGCAATGGTTTTATGCTGGTAAATACCACAACAATGAAAATAGGACACTGGGGAAAGAGAATGACAGATTGCAAGAAAAACAATAAATTAGTTCTGGAGAAAATAAAAACTACTTCCTTTAGAAAATAACCAAGAAGCATGAACTCACTATGAATGGATAATGTACTAGGAAAGCTACTAGCCTCAGTAGGGCTGACAATAGTAGAAAACAATGGATAAAGTAGATGAAGGGATCTAAGTGGTCACTGAAATGTCATAGAAAGAATGACCAATTATGGTCAGGCAAGAGATGGGTAGCATTTGTCCATATAATCACTAAGGTCCCAATTCAAGGACACCTAAATAAGTAATTAGCAGAAGTAAAACTAAAATAAGAAGAATTTATCCAAAACAAATTTTATTAAAAGGATATGCAAGTAGCAGTAAGATTCATCTTTAAGGACCAGGAAATCCCATAACTGAAGCTTGCCAAAATCATCAGCAATGAATTGTGTAAAAGCCAAATATCTTATTCAGACTGTTGATCTATAATCAAAGTAGGTAATGAGCAAATACCAAAACATAATATTTTGAAATTATCTTTTCAAAAGTTTTAATAACTTAGAATATTTTCATAATATAAATTGTGTGCCAATGTAGACAATTTTCTTATAATACTTTATGCTGAGAGAAGAATTTAAATTCAGGTTTAGTTCACACCACACATAAAACATGTTGGAGTATACATAATTTGAGATTAATGTGTGACATTTGAAACTACCTTAATAATGTGTAAATCCGAGTTTATGGTCACCATAACTATGCTCAAAAAATCATATGTTAGAACAGTTTGCTACAGTGTACAAACACGGTCTAAAAGTTCATCTCAACTAAATTAATCACACACTTCTCAGAACACAACTTCACAATTGAAATATTACATTGAACAGGGTAGGGTAGAAGAAAGAATATTTAAAATTTATTTATCAGTTATAGTCTTAGATTTTACTCAACACAAACTTGACTGAACGTATTAATATGCTTAAATTTAAGTACCCAATCTTCTTTTAAATTTTTGAAACATGTAATCCAGGTTTGTATAGCAAATATTAACAAACTGCAACTACACAACTTAATTTCTTTTTTTTTTATAAAAAAAATATAATAGTAAAATCTAATATAAATGAAAGTTAAAAACAAACACAGAGAACTGGTTCTTTGATTATTATAAAAATTTAAAACATCCACATCCACTAAACAGACTTTAAAAGGCTTCAGCCCTGCAGATCAGGGCTTAAATGCTAGCAATAAAAGTTTCTTGCAAATTATTGGTTCTCAATGCGTTTATTTGCAGTGATAACCCTAGCATTCTTACTAAGTGTGTGCCATATGCATCTTTAAGATATCCATATGATTCCCTGAAAAAAACAGGGAATTGAAAAAACTAAAAAAAATGAAAAAACCATTCTCTACTCACTCTTGTTGAAGCTTATTCAAGAAAAGGACATACTGATAGTATAAAGATAATGTGTGTCTTTCTGCTACAAAAGACCCACAAGAAAATACAGCAAACACATACTATATAAAAATATAACTTAGTTACTGAGGTGTTTTTAACATAAGTCTTCAAAATAAAAATACTTTCTATTGTTTTTATATTATAAGGGCATCAACATAAAAGAAATGAAAGAGAGACTGACTACAAAGTAATAGATAAACCTATCTGATCCCTAAACTAATGTGATATAATTAAAATTTGAGAAGCTAGTATTCTCTTTAGGAAGACATTATTTTTGAAACATTAAGACCAAAGAGGACTACACTTTAATTTAACTAGAAATAAAATGTATATTTTACTATTTGGAATTCAAAGGACAATATATTCATTATACTATTATTCTCATAAATATTCCCATAAAGGTAAAGATTTTCCCTGTTCAGTCGTGTCTGATTTTAGGGGACTGGTGCTCATTTCCGTTTCTTAGCTGAGGGAGCCAGTATTGTTCAAAGACATTTCTGAGGTCATGTAGCATGACTATATGCCGAGGTGCACAGAATGTGGTTACCTTCCCACCGAATATTCCCATACGTATTTTTCTTAATAGAACATCACGGGATGTTCTTAACAATGTCATTTCTATGGCAACAATACATTTTTTTCTTCTCAAGCATAGTTAAATACCAGGCCACGACAATCCATTTCGAATACATACAAAAAAAACCCTTTCTTTAAGATAATGAATTAATTTTCCTAAATCGAGATTGACAAAATAGCCCTGCAATAATTTGCACAAGTTCAATATAATAGCTTCATATTAAATAATACATCCTTTCTAGTTCAACCTGTTGTTTTATTTTACTGATAGGTGCTTCTGAAGGATACGGTCTGTACCAGGGAACAGTGTTCTTCCAGTCAAAAGTTCAGCCATAATGCATCCAACTGACCAAATATCAACTGAGGATAAAACAAATCAAGATAAAAGGAAATTAAGAGTTACAAACCTCAACTGAAATATTCTACTGGTAAAAAATTCTATACAATGTGCATGTAGTTGTTAAGAATGAAAAAAAAAACAGATTATGTTGTAAAACTAAGAGAAAGAGGTAGGATTAATTAAGGTGATCCAATACACACACACACACATACACACACGCACACAGGGGCAGAGGGAGGGAGAGGTGTGCCCCCAGATACACATGTATGGAGAAAAGTATTTGTGTAAATTAAATTATGAATGAACTGATAAAACATATCAGAAACTATGAACTGGTACCATTTAGATTATACAGTACTATGTGTGTATAAAAACTATTAATTATGCTTAATGTAACATTATGACTAGTAAATGGAGATAATTAAAAAAAATCAGGGATCTGGAAACTCAGAGCATTCTGAAAACACAAGCCATGTACAACAGCAGGACTCTGCATAGTTCTTAATATGGAATGAGAGGGGTTTGTCAGGGGAAATAATTTTTAATTTTATTTAATGCAGTGGGAAGTGCATGTGGCAAAACAAGGATATGTCAAGAATGAAAAGGTGATGATAAATCATGGATGGAATATAAATCTGAGTGACTGGTACAAAAATGTATATTGAGGTAGCATGATAATATAGTGAGAATGAAAGCATGTCAGATAACAAAACCACTACTTGAAGGAAGATTTAATAGACTGAAAAGAAGAGCAAGTCTAAGAAAGTAATGATTGCATAAAGTCTGATAATTTTCTCAAAGCAGTTCAGTAACTTTACAGCATAAAAGACTATTTGAAATAGTAAATGGCCCGGTATATTGTACAGTAAATAACTGTCAGTGTAAACTATATTTTATCTCCCTTTTCTTCTGTATCCTGATTTTAATTTCTTTTGCTTACCAATTTTTAGTCCTTTCTTGGGCTTTGCATAATATCTATTTACCTCAAAATGAAATATAGTGGTGATAATGTATGGTATGAAACAAGTACAATAGGTACCTAATAATACTAAAACGGTTAATTAGCATGGGAACATAAAACATCTCACAAACATACTGTAAAATATAAGAACAGATAAGTTCAGATGAAGAACTATTAAACAGTTCCAAAAACAACCAAATTATACTGTAAAAATTATACACTGTTTATTAGGTTGGATCTGGATAACTGTATTATGGAGCACAACCTGTGCTATTTGATAGTAAGAGTTTAGGCTTATGAAACATCATACCTGTTTGATTGTAATGCATCCAGTTCAGCATGATCTCAGGAGCTCTGTACCACCTGGTTGCTACATAACCTGTCATTTCATCATCTGTATGCCGTGCCAACCCAAAATCCAAAATCTGAAAAATAAGAAAAACAGATTTATATTGCCGGAATTAAAAAAGAATGTGAGCAAAAGAAGATAAAAAAGGAGGATAGAAAGAGCACACATCTTTTCTAGCAAGCTACACTAGGAAGAAGTCTGAGATTAAGCAGGCAGACAGAAATGAAAAATTTAAAATACAACAGCTATCAAGGATTTATAATATATACAAGAACAGTAACACTATATCACATTAACATGATTCAAGAATGATTACGTTATACCCAGAAGAACATTATGGACATATATACATACATAGGTACCTATACTTCACTATCTAGGTCTTGATATAAGATTATAAATGCTTAATTTCCATAAACAATATGGCATACTAATTCCAAGTTACCTTCAACTCACAGTCTTCATTCACAGCTAGGTTACTAGGTTTTAAATCCTAAAATAAAAAGGAGAAAAAAAGAATCAGCCCACCATATTAAAATAGCTGTTCAAAATGAAGCTATTAAATACAGTCACATCTTATTCATAATTTCTATAACCTGTACTGTATTGTATAACAGCCACAAATGTTATACAAAAATGTGTAAGATTATTCATAAAAAAGTCATTTACATACAATATTGCATTTACTATAAAAATTTACCAACGGCATACTGAATTTTAACAGAGAAAATAAGTGAGAAAGTTGAGTGGAATCAACACTGTAACAAAGCTGGATGTACAATGTCTTCCGTTATATGGATATGTTTAATTATTTTCATTTATAAAATTTCAATATTTTGTCTTTCAGAAGAATTATACTATAAACTAAAAATATTGCATGTTTTAATAATACAATAATACTTACTCTGTGTATTATATCAGCAGAGTGGATATACTAAAAGATAAAAGTGTTAATATTAATTAGATTTAGGGCAATATTTTCAATTTGGTTATGATAAAAACATGTTTTTCCTACTCCATTTAATACAGCATTCATGATATAGTAATTGTACCTTTTTTGCCTGATTTCAGCTTCTTTCTATAGGAAAGCAAATATCTGCAACTAGAATTTTTTTAAAATGCCTACATGAAAAACAGTAATGTAATGTAAAATTTTCATTCTTTACATATAATCCTTTCTTGTTACATTTTGATTCAAAATATCTACATGCAAAGTGCCCTGGAATCTGAGCAATTAGATAATCTCATCACAAATTACACCATAACATTTTAAGGGAAATGTCTGGCAGTTTGGACAGATTTCAAAAAAATGAAAGTTGATTAAATATATGCTAACTAACCCTATATACATTTAGGAGAGTCAAATTCTCTTAATCCAATTCCATCTTAATGTACTTGTTACTGTTCGTGTTATGAAGTTATAATAACTAGTACTAAACCAAACTAGAAACTGAGAGACTGTGAGTTCTGGTCCCATCTTAGGCACAAAGGTGACTGGGCCTGTCATTCTCTTTTAGTCCTAGAAAGGAGACAATGGTAAATTCTTCTGAAAAGATGCCCAGAAGCAAAACAAAACAAAAACCCTGCAGGGACTTGTCCAGGCAGTCAGCAGGAATCAACAGAGACTCATTGGCACCCAAAAATAAAAAGTTGCTGAGATGAGCAAATTAGTTATGGTTTATTTGGCTGATTTATTTTGTTGTCACTCCATATTTTTCCATTAGTTTCTAGTTTCCAAAAAAAAAAAAAAAAAATGGGCAAAGTGAAGATTTATCCAGATACAAAGACATGTTTAAATTTGTAAACCAAAATTAAAACATATTTTCAATTTGCCCCACATTGTACAAGATGAAAACATGTTTTCTTCTAGGACTGCCCATTTTGTTAACCAAAACAAAGTGCTGAATTTTGGCTTTGCATAATGTAGTTCATCTAGGCCGCTTTTTCTCTGGGCCAATATAGGACGTTTCCCAACTCTGCGTTTCCTTCCTAGAGTGAGTGAAGTCAAACAGGAATCACGTGATGGGCAGTATCAGTAAAAAAAATATGGACAATATTTCCTGAACTCATTTTATGGGAGAGTACGGAAAAAAACTATGTTCCTGAATTTAATAAAATGGTTGAGGAAATATTACTACTGGCTACATTATAAAACTATGTTTTTCATGCTTGTTGGAGATCTTTCCTGTCTTTGTCTAGATGACAAAAAGGGAAGGGGGGGGGGGAGAGTACTTTACAATGCCATCTACAGCATAATCTCTTCTCCTGTAGGTAGTACTGCAAACAGCTGAAGGGATTAGGTGAATACTTTTTTATACCCCCTTCCTTTTCAAGTGTCAAAAACAGTCTCCTTTTCTTCAAATCTAATAAAATATAGCATATGCAGTACAAGCAAATGAAAAAATGCCATACAATAAGAACATTAATGCCTCTGAATATAATGTAGAGCCAAAGCTGGCCCACTTCAAATTCAATTGTGCAAAGAAGCAGAGCCAATTCAATAGTTGTGCAATAGCATTTTTTTGCTTCCATCCCAGATTTCAGAAATGGCAAACATTCTTCAAATCTATTTAAAAGGAAATCACTCTATATAATTCAGGAGAGCAAAAATGCAATAACTGCCTTTGCCTGAATACGGTTTTTGCCTCTATTGATCTATTTGCTTCTATTTCAAGGAGAAGGTAAGTGTACAGAGGTGTTACTATGATTATGAAACTGGAAATACCTTCAAACCCCGAAGAATTTGATAAATGAGAAACTGTACATGGTCATCTGTGAGTTTCTGACATTTTACAATATTGTTCAAATCCGCTCCCATAAGATGGGTTACAAGATATCTGGAAAACAGAAGTCAAACCAAAATGTCAGAAAAAAATGTCCAGAAAACATGGCTGCTTTAATATTTGAGAAGCAAAGTTTTGTCTATGCTAACTTTCTGTGCAAAACATCCCTTTCTAATGCTTTGCACAACTCAATCCTGCATTTTTGAGATTAAAGAAACATAAGCAGATTCATTTAAAATCAACAGTTATAAACAGTGCGTGCGGTATAATCGAAGATATGTAACAATGATTTACATATCTACTAATCACCATCTTCACCAAATTCAGAAATACTCTAACAGTAAAGGGTACCCTACAATAGTTGAACTACAAATCTACTGACATCAATGACAAAATTTGATGTACATAAAATTAATTTTGTCAAACTTCAACTCAGTATAACTCAGAAAATATCTATGGAGATTCTCAGTCATCCAAGTCATGGTTGCCCTAAAGGTGCTTTTTCAAGAGGCAACTGGACTTTCTGGTTTTTCTTTGAAGACATTTCGCTTCTCATCCAAGAAGCTTTTTCAGCTCTTAAAAGTGAATTTTATTTCAATTTTTTCACAGAGAGAACTTTATTTTACAGAAATATAATTTTGTAAGTACATAATCAGCACCATTATCCACTCAATCCAAAAATATGAGATTTGTGCATCTATAAAAATGTATTTATAGAATTTTGTGTATTTTTATTATTTGGGAGATATATCTAAAATATTCAAGATTATTTCTTTTAAATGAAAACAGGATAATAAAAACAAAGGCTGTTTCATATAGGTTCTGGCTTGCAGGTTATCAATGTAAAAAGATAAGAAAATAAGATTTTTTCAGAAGTTAGTTGTTCTTCCTAACAATGAATTAAGGAGATTTTACAATGGTTCAGTTTTTCTATTTCTCTGAAGCAATGTAAAAAGGTTATAGAATAGAGGCTATATGAAACATTTAGTCATATTAATATCTATTAACAAAATCCATCTAAATGAACTTATTAAAACAGGAAGCGTGTCTCAACGTGCCTTTGAAAACTGTTACATACAAGTTTTACAAGTTTTAAACACAGCTCTTTAAAATGTTTGCCACTTCATAATCTATTATACAGCTACAAGTACATGAGTCCTTTTAATGCAAAATAATGATGGAACAGGCAAGTCTGAAAATTCAACAATAAAACCAAGGAACTTTATTCCTTCCCATTATCAGACCTTCAAAATATGTTGCTCAGCTTTTCTTTTTTTAAGTCCTCCCCACCCCCGCTTTTTCCCAGGAAGAAAAGTAGCCAGTTCTGCTTCAGAAAGTAAATATTTTGCCAACACCTGTTATTTGAATTATAAAACCTGAACTTCAAAATGGTATACAACATAAACAAGAAGATATAAAGCACAGTAAGAAGATGAGGGAGGGAGGGAGGGAGCGAGGGAGGGACAGACAAAAGATATAGAAATATAAATGATAGCATACAAATGGAGATCTTCACAAAATTCTGCACGCACTTATCCTATGTTACAGGTTATTCAAATATTTAAAATCAATTTATGTGTGAGATGGCTTAGAAACTATTATTACCACATGCACATCAGTTTCTAGCATTTTATCTTCCTTTTGATAGTATATATTCTATGATCCTGATAAATACTGACTGGGTGCAACACCTCATATTGAATTATGAGTTTGGGAGAAGAAGCCACAAATTTTAGGGAGTTTGAACATGTCGGCTAAAGTTGCTGCCTGAACCTCTCTTCCTCTCCTTGGTCAGAGAAAGATGCTTGTCCAGTAGAGTGGCAATGTTGTCTATCAGGGCTTTAGCACTGCCCTGCAGGACTCTAGACAAGGTACACAGATTGTGGGCATGTGATTGGGCCATTTTTAAAAACCTGATTAGAAGACCTGGAGTGTGATTTTTGCAGACTTCAAGCTTGGGCCCTATGCTCCAGGATGTATCTCTGTGCAAGGTAAGTGGAACTAGAGCATGGTCTTATAGCACTCTGGCTTGATCTTGCAGGCACTCATGGTGTACATGCCAAAGGCTGGCTTCATTCCAGGTGAGAAATGCATAATGGCTGTCCTTGAGTATGGACTGCTATTTAGAGTTCATTCTGAGGCTGCTTAGCTGTGCCAAGTGCAGGGATCAGATTTTATGTGATTGTTGAAGTTGAACCCAGGCAAGTGATATGATAGAAGGGGAATAACAGTAGCTATCTACTGGTGTGCAAATTTCTAGGGTTGTGTGGGACTGGACAGACTTATACTTCTGACTGAAAACCATCATTTTGCATTTAATTCTTGGGCTGTTTGTTTTGAATGAACAGGTTTTGTTTCAAAAGGTTGCAGAGTTGCATTATTGTCCTGTCTGGTATCTAGATTACAATTTTATCATTAAGGACGAGTGGTGTATTTTTTTCATGCCTAATTCTGGCCCCAACAAAACCATTGCTTTGGTTTGGAGGAGCCAACATGAGCTTATTTATCTTTGAGGGGGAAGGGTAGAGGACACAATACCATCAGAGAATATGTAGTGTGAAGCAGTCCCTATTTTTCATTCCAAATGCAAGGTTTTATGTCAATGCACACATACTTCTACAGCAACAAAACTGAGGCAGGTATAGAACTTAAACTATTCATGTCCTTAGATGCATACTCTCACTCACATTTGCCCCACTAACTCCTCCCACATGCAAGGAAGTGTTCACTAAGACTACAAATTTAATTCAATATAAAGGTTATAAATTTTGGATTAGTGTTTTTAATGTATGTATGTATGTATGTATGTATGTATATGTATATGTATATGTATATGTATATATTATATTATGTTACAAAGTTTTGAACTGTTGCTTACACATCATTGAACTCTTCAAATGACTTCGCAGGTGAGAATACATCTAGAAGTCCAATAACCTGTAAAGGTGGGGAAAAGAAATTCCTAAGTAAGCATGAACATCAACCCATTTTTTCTTCAATCCATTTCCCCAACTGAAGTATATTTATTATTCTAATCCAGAGTGCCTGCTATGTAAATACATGATTTAAACTAAGCATCAAATTCTGTTTTATTTCCATTGTTCTATTGTTGCCATATACTTCAATTTTTACTAAAAATGGATACTTTGTAGTAAAGCAACTAATTTTATATTTGGGTAGAGCTTCTACCAGCACCCAATGTGCATTTCAAAATGATGATGATGATGATGATGATAATGATGATTATGATGATGTATGGAGATATATTGACAAACTCTGAAGGCCAATTTACTACATCTTACACAATATGGTGACTTTGCTGTGATCTATCCGACTTGCATTAGATATGACTGCATTAGCTCTAAAGGACCAGAATCAGTATATTGGGATATTCTAGTTCTGAAGACCTAATTCAGAGGTGCTTAGATCCATCTTCATGCAGTCTTTATCAAAATGGTTTAATTTGGTGGAAATGCCACAACAAAGAAAAATGTTACCATATGTGATATATGAACAAAAAGATCAAAAGTACTAGAAACAAATTTATCAAATACTGAAAATGCTGAAAATAAAAACTGAATCAAAACCACAAATATTTTATTAAGTATGATTCAGAGAGTTCAGAGAATCATACTGATGTAGAAATGCATCACAACTGATTATTTATGACAGACAGATACCATAAAGCCAGATGCTCACATGACTGACCTGTTTTATGGCTTATGACCATAATGGGCAGGTTCCACTATGGTTGTAATTTGAGTACCACCAGTACCTGGGACTGGAATTTTAGCTAAGTAATGTGATTGTGAACATCATGTAACCACATTGCTTAGTAACAGCAATCTTGGCAAAGTTCAATTGGTTTTTTTTGCAGAATCATGTTAAAGAAAACTTATATAGACATCCTGGAGTTTGCTATAGCTCATCACTATCATGCTAAATATGCTATGATTACTGATTGTTGCTATTTTTAATTGCATTTAATAAAACCAATATTAGACAAGTAGTCCTCGACTTATGATCGGATGCTCAGAGACAGTTTGAAATTACAACCCCAGATCCTGAAAAAGTATTTACAACCCCGATTTAAGGATCTCACGGTCAACCTCCCTGCAGTCATGTGACTGCACTTTAGGCACTTGAGCCAATATGATGCGAAGAAATCGAAATGAATGACTTTGGGGCAAATATATTAAGAAAATAGCTAGTTGTATCAGGAGACTGGCTTTTTGAAAGACTTTTCTGAATGTATGGGAAATTTAATTACTGTGAGCCAAATATTAAAAAAAAACCTGTAAGTGCTAGAGCTATGTCATGCTTCTTTGATTTGGAAAGACGGGCTTTGGAACAGAGTGAACAGAGCACTAGCTTGTGACCCCTAAAGCAGCTGCATCTCTTTCTAGGACTACATATGCCAAATTATGGAGGCTTCTCTTACAATGACAGTGCAGTGCCATTCTCACATGTTCTGTAGTGATTACTCTGAAGTGTTCACAATTGTCATATCCATCCAATATCCAATCTAAATTACATATGAAAACTTTTCACTGACATAAGTAGTAGTATTTAAAAAGTAATGGAATTTTACTGAATGACCTTCCTAAATATTTAATGTCAACAAGAGAAACCAAGGTAGGTCTGTCTTTAATTAGCAATCAAAAATAAATATATGGGCAAATGTACCCTTTTGAACTTACATCAATATATTTCAGTAATAATTTCTTCACACACAATTACAGTTACAAACTACCAGTCTTTACTACATGCAGTGTTCTGACATTACCTGCAGAAGAACGAAATCTGATAGTCCTTGAAAAACAGCAGTAGCACTTAAGACTTTACAGCACTCTCTAAGCAGGTTACAGTCATCATATAGACCCCAACAATCTGGGTCCTTACTGACCTCGGAAGGATGGAAGGCTGAGTCAACCTTTAGCCCAGCAATGGGCAAAGTCAGCCTGCAATACTGCATACTAACCACTGGGCTACTATAGCTCAGTATAAAAATATATATATTATTTAGAAACAAGGAACAATGCAACAGGAACTATAGTTTGAACTGTTATGCTCAACGAGTTGACAATCTGATTGGTCTTCCTAGCATTTAAAGGGAAATTAGAAGTTGCTTTCACAGAACAAATTTTCCACACTTTCACTATTTGCTGATATGTCTGAACAAGTATTTTGATTAAAAGTGGATTAGCTGTACTAAACTTGTACTTCAAAAATCTCCATCAGTTCAATCCTCAATACAGCAGACTTTACTCGAATTAAATTTGTGTAGGATAGATCTATTTATTACATATTGTGAACTCTGCATAAAATGACAGGTGTAATCATTTGATTTATGCAGCTGCTGATCTCATAGCAGTGGCTCTAGAAATGAGAGAGAAATTAAAATCAAAGAAGCAATACTATTTGCAAAAAAATAAAAAATAAACACCTCCAAACAATAAAATGAAATGTGCCTAGTGGTCTTTTTAAAAAATCAACCAAATTTTAATCAAACAAGATAAGAACTAACAAATCATCTGACAGGGTTGCTTAATCCGGACAACAACTGCACTAGAGGAAGAAATGTTTTTGCAATATTGTGTTCCAGAAATACAGAGAAGCTATGAAGCATTTCACAACAGTCCCGGAGTTGCAGATTGCAGAATTAACAGCTATATTATTTCCTCAAATTTGACTATTCTCGTAGTTAATAGAATAAATACTGCACTATTATATCCCACCACTGTCATTCTTTGCTTGAAGAATGACGTCATTTTCATTTCATTATGGCTGGCACGTAAACTGTTCCATGCAAACTCATGGGTTGCAGTGTTCAGTTCCAATGTATGAAAGGTGCTTTGGATTCAGTATGATCATATTCATTGTAACTGTGAGTGGCCCTGTAAAGAAATCTTTCAGACAGTAGCTCTACATGAGGAAGACCAACTCCTTTCCTGCTCAGTTTGAATATCTGCACATTGTGAACCAGAGTTAACAAACAGTTCATACTCAACTGGGCTCCGAAACCAAACACAATTATGATTTGTGTCAAACTTACATTTTCATGTTTCATATGTTTAAGCAGTCGCAGTTCGCGGTAGGTCCTTTTGGCGTGTATGATAGACTGAAATGGTCTGGACAATTTCTTCACTGCCACACGAAGGCCAGTTTTAGCATCAAAGGCAGAGCTATAAAATCATTTTTAAAAAAGCATTAACGGTGTAATCAGTGTTAGCATTTTACTACGAAAAGATTATGATTTATCTTAGCCTTTTGAGAGAATGTAACTAACGTTTGTAACTTAGAATATGAGCCGCAAAAGAAGTTGAAAATTTTTCTCGGCATAAGCATGGAAAAAGAATTATTATATGATATTCATTTTAATATACTACATTAAATGAATAAATGTGGAAATAACTTTGGCTTTATAAAGAATGAAAAATCTTGCAATCATATGACTAATAACACAGAGATATGACAATGACTTCCTGTAAACTCCTTGAAAGTTTCAACTTCAAAATTCACATATTGTGACATTTCCGAAACAAAAGCTCCCTATATCCATCTCGAAGCATAATATATGCCTCACAGCAAGCCAGTTGTGGAAATAAAGACCAAACTACTCCTCAGATCTCTAGATTGAATAATTTAACTCAGAAATATCTAGACACTGTTTTTTTCAGACACTTAGATGCGTTAAAATTTTGAAATTTTATTGCCATGGTTTCTGATCTAATCAGATTTACAGACAACCCTAAAGAGATACTGTGTACTCATTTCCAAATATTAAAAAAATCCAGACCATATTTTTGTAATTGTTACTAAATAGCAAACAAGTACAAAATGTACAAAGAACCACCCATTAAATCTGAAGATGAAACAGATACTGTATATCTGACTACACTAACACTGAACTGTATTTGAATAGAAAAAGCATTTGTCAGAATGTACCCGTATTATTTTAGCTTGAAATTGAATGGAAAACCTTTTTTCACTCTTCCCCCGAGTCAGCCATGCCTGCGCTAAATTTGAAAATAATCACTTATGTGTTATTAACCACACTGAACTGAACATAAAGAGAGACATTCCCATAATGGATATCTAGTTATTGAAGGCTGGCAGGTGTTCTTGCAAAATGTCTGCAATGTTTCTCTTGGCACAGGAAGAACTGATGTCACAAACCACTAATTAACTTGATTCCCCATCATGCCAAACTAGCCACGTCCCAAGAAAGATATATATCATCCCGAATCATCTTCTCCTCTTCCTTTATATAAGCAGGAGGGAAGTTTTTATTCTAATTTTTTAAGAATACTTTTGTGGTCTAATATGAACCCAGATGCCTTTATTCAGTTAGACGAAATTATGAATGCCTGACATTTTGCTTTATCAACTTACCAGGAACACAAAACCTACCATGACTCTTCTGGGTCGTTGTCAAACTGGCCATCCCTGGAATAGTTTACCAGAAGATAATTGTCTGAAAACAGAAACGTTTCTGATTTTGCAGACATGGTGTTTCATGGTTCAGTGTCTTCTCTAGAACACCAGAAACCAGTTTTAGTTTGAAAGATTGATTTCTGGAAAATTGCCAATTTTTTCTCAGATTATGTTGCACTGGCATGTTTATAAAGTTCCAGTAAGCTGGCAATCTAGAGGGCACTAAGTGCAATATGGGCATAGACGGATGCTGTGGGTGTCTTCTGTGCAATAGCCAGAAAATATACAAAAGGTATTTTTATTTATTAATTTTTTTGGCACCCATTTTGTTGCAAGGCAACTTGCAGGTATAAATATAAGACTTTGCATTTATATGACCTGGCTACAATGAAATTGGATTTAGTGCAAAGGACTCCAATAATTTTTTTCCTCTGGCCATTATTTCAGATTCCTTCAACAATCTTACCTTGGATGCTTACTTGGATGCTAGCCTGGATTCTTCAACTGTTCTATATAGTTTAATTATCCTTAACTAATCAAATTATATACTGAATGTAGTGGAAAAATTCTTAATCTTGATGCTAAAATATTTGCAAAGCCACTGTTTTACATCAGACAAAAGGAAATATATACACCAGATACCTCTTACTGCTTAACACTCTTATAATATTTGTTCAAATATAATACTAGTAAACTAAAATAAAGAAGAATTTAGTCTACAATCAGGAACTTCTCTTAACCTGTGTAATGAATACACTGAAAAGTATCTTAGATGACTTAGAAGCACTCATCACCATATGCTCCAAAATTACTAACTGCAAGAATCCTTGGGTTCTCTGTGCTATAAAGATAATAGGTGACGTCATGGATACGCCATGCAACTTTCATAGCACTAAAAAGTGTTTTTAAAATTCCCAGTTTATTATAATATTAGCCTGTTGTGTATCATAAATGGTTGTTATAATATTTCCAAATTTGGTGCCTAAATTCATATTAGAAATTTTTTGGATTAAAAATTGCCAATTTAAATAATCGAAGGCCTTCTCTGCATCTAAAAATATAAGTGCAATTTGTTTTTCAGGGTGGGCTTTGTAAAATTCTAAGACATCTAGTACTATTCTTAAGTTGTTCCTGATTTGTCTGGTCGGGAGAAATCCATTTTGATCTTCATATATATGCTCATTTAACATTCTTTTTAGTCTACTTGCTATAATAGAAGTGAATATTTTGTAATCAGTATTTAAGAGTGAAATCGGACTATAATTATGTATATATCGGGGATCTGAATCCTCCTTCCGGATCAGCGAAATCAAGGCCCCTCTCCATGAGTCCGGCATCCTGGCTGCCAATAAGACGTCATAAAAACTTCCACCATAAGAGGTCCTATTTGTTCTGCTATTGCCTTGTACAGCTCCCCTAGAATCTCATCTGGTTCCAGGGATTTATTGTTTTTCTGGTTCTCTACTGCTGATTTCAATTCAAACCAAGTAATGTCTTTGTTTAATAATTTTTCCATTTCTTCTCCAATTGCTTTATCCTTCACTTCATCTAAATAGTTTCTTATTCTATCTTCATTAACTTCTTCCTTTTTATATCACTCTTCAAAATACTTATGGGCAATTTCTTTTTTCTGTTCTATCTCCTGTTGTATATCCCCCTTTCCATTAGCTGGTATATCAATCTCTTTTCTTTCTTTTTTTTTCAGTCTATAGGATAGCCATCTCCCTGGCTTATTAGCATGCTCAAAATAAGTTTGTCTAGTTGTATTCAAATTTATAATCATTCTCTCTTGTTCAATTAAATTCAGTTTATGTTTAGTTATTATTAGCTGATTTTGCAATTTTGAATCCTTTGGGGTACTCTGTAATTGAGTTTCTAATTCCTTAATTTTTTGTTGTAATTTGTTTTGCTGGGTGTATTTTTCCTTATTCCTCTTGGCGTTATAAGAGATTGTTATACCTCTTATTACTGCCTTCATTGTATCCCAAATGTTTTGTTTTGTAGTTACTCCATTATCATTTTCCTTTAAGAAATAATTTAATTCCTCCTTGAGTTTGTTGGTGTATTATTTTTCTCTTATTAACTGAGTATTTAATGTCCATCTTTTCTTGGGTTTTTCCCTACCCTTCCATATTATCTGAATTGGATTGTGATCTGCGCATTCATTAGGTAAAATTTCAATCCCTTTTATTTCATTTGCTATTTCCCCATTCATCCATGCCATACCAATTCGTGTCCATATTTGCTGAGGATTTGAATAGAATGTAAATTGTTTTTTCTCGGGATGTGACCTTCTCCATATATCAATCAAATTTAACTCCTTCATCATTTCCATACATATCTTGGGAAGCTCTCTTACCCCCCCCCCCTTTGTTCTTCCCCCCATTACTGTGGTCTTTTTGATAATCAGCAATAGAATTAAAATCTCCTATGATACAAATATTTCTTTTTTCCAATCCAACTATTTTTCCATAAAGATGCTTAAAAAACTCTTTTTGATCTCCGTTCAGGGTGTAGATTACCACTAAGAGAATTGGGATGGCATTAATCCAGATCTGCAAAAGCAGAGTTCTTCCCTCAGAATCCGACCATATTAAATCTGCTTTCAAATCCTCTTTAACATATACTGCAATCCCTTTCTTTTTCCCCATGTCTGCTGGTGCGGTAAATAGCTTCCCTAATTTCAGACATTCTAGTTATTTTTCATCCGTTTTGTTTATATGAGTTTCTTGTAGGCATATTATATCAGCATTTTTTTTTGATTAGTTTAGCTATTATCCTTTTTCTTTTTATGGTCGAGTTTAAACCATTTATATTAATAGATGGTAGTTTCTTTTCTTCTTCCATTTAATTAATTCTGTTTCGCTCTTTGTCTTGTATTGGCTCCGGTCTCTCCTTGTACCTGAAGATGTGTCCTACTTTCTTCTCTCTCCTGATGTAGAGTATTTGCTTGATTTCCTAAAGTTCCATCTCTGTTCTTATGATAGCCTTGTCCTGGGAGTTTGTTTCCAGTTCCTCCTTACTGCTCTGGTCTTCCGGACCTACCAATTGCTCATAAAATTCCTGGGCCTTTTTCATGGAGCCTATTTTCCTTTCGTTCCAAAAAACTAACATCCCCTCTGGGATTAGCCATTTAAATACGATTCTTTTCTGATTTAGGTAAGCTGCTAAGAACTTGTAGTCTCATCTTTGTTCTCTTACTCTTCTTGGTATTTGTTTGAGAATCAAGACTTCTTTACCTTTATACATGATTGTTTCATATCTTGACATCCCATATATGATATCCTGGACACTCCTTCATGCAAATCCTATATGGACTTCTCTTGGGCATTTGTGGCGTCGCGCATAATTAGTGCTAATCCTGTAAACTTCACCAAACTCCCTTAAGATGTCATCTTTATCCTTTTCCAATAGTCCAGCCAGTATTCCCGCCATTAGTTGTTCCAGGTCTTCTTCTTTGGATTCAACTACATTTTGGAATCTCAAGTATGTAGCAGCCTTGTCCATCTCTAGGTAGACCAGTGAGTCCTCCATTTCTTTACTCACATTCTTTAATTCTTCATCTACCCTTTCTAATTTCCTTTCGGTTCGTTCAGTCCTTTTCTCTACCTCTTTTATTGTTGCTTCATTTTCTCCGAGGCCTGCTGTAATAATCCAACTTTGTCCTCTACTTTGGGGATATCCGCTTTCATTTCTGCTTTTAATTTCCCCATCTCCTCTTTTAGTGCATTGATATCTGCTCTCGTCTCGTTATGGTTTTTCATCATTGTTTCTTGCAGCTTCATCATCGATTCCTGTAAAGTCAGCAAAATTGATTGGATGTTGGCATTCGAGATGTTAGCTTGTTTCTCCACTGGTAATGTTTCTTCTATGGTTTTTTGTGCCATGGGCGAAGCTGTTGCCGATGTAGTTGTTAACGTCGGGGTGACCTTTCTTCCAGTTTTCAGAGCTGTAGCAGTTGTGGAAGTCATTTCTTTTAAGATTTGTTTCTGTTGTTGTCCAATATTAATTATATTATCCCAAAAAACATTCAGTGATAGAATCTCTGTATTAGGATTGACCAGTATCTGATTACTTAATCTATCTATCTGCTGGATAGCTGTGCTCTTAACTGGTTACTGGAGTATAAGTACTTATGTATAAAAATATTATCACTGTATTATTTTAAGTCCAAATTATAAATCACATATATTATTTTGTAAGGTCTATGCTCAGCCTCTAAACATAACTTCATGTAATAATTATATTATATAATATTATACTATACTATACTATACTATACTATGCTACTATACTATACTATAGTATACTATACTACACTATATTATATATATTATATTATATATTATATATATAATATATATATGTATGGCATTCAGCTTTGTTTGGGTATTTTCCCACGTCATTGTAGTTGTGCTTTTAAAGTTGTAGCAACATTTCAGCAGAATCTCATCTGCCATCATCAGTGGGGAGGTAAAAAATGCTGAGTAGTGACTGCAATTACACGGTATCTTCACAGATTCGGAAGCTTCCATTTTTACTTTTTGTCTTAGCGTTCCTAATTTTCCTGATTTTCTTCAGATGGAACCACCCCCTCAATTAGATCAATATGCTCCCTAAAGGGCTGTTAAGTGGTTTATAGCAGTTATATTGTTACGATAGCTTCAGGGTTTTTAAATATCGCCTGTGGCGCCACACTATCTCTGTTCCGTCAGCTCCGATCTTTTTCCCGTCTCCTCTTTAATAAAGTCTTTCAGAATAAAAATCAAATGAGATAGTCCAAATCCTCCACAACTTCCAGGAACCTTCCAGCCGCTAGTCTCCCAACCTCGTAAACTTCCCTTTTTACTCGTTATTGTCCTCTCACTCTCTCTTCTGTCTGCCAAGCCCTTTCACTGTCACTTGCTTCGCATCCGCTTTTTGGCCGCTTTCTTTTAGGGCTCCGGACAGACACTTGTAACAGCCTTATAAAAGTCTATGGCATTCCAATCCTCCTCTCCGCCGCTAATTTTTTCTACCACTCTCTTCCCCAATGATCTCACAAACTGTCACTCACTCGCTTCTTTACATCGGTGGCAGTCCAGACTTCAGAGCCGCCATTGATAGGAGCCTGTTTCTTGCTCGTTGGGCTCTGGAGGGCTCCTCTTTGCTGCAGGGGGGTTGCCTTCCCCACACTGCAACCCGAGTCTCCCCCACACCGGCACAAATCTCTCCGGGACTCGTGCACCCTCAAAGGATCGCACCAACCGCAAAAAGAGATTAACTGAAACCACAGACGGGCTTCTGCACCTCTGTTCGCCCTTGCCTTGCCACCGGAAGTCTAAAATTCCAAATATGTTCATCAGTCCACAAAGACTGAAGTTTTGAATTGTGGCTACTAGAAAAGTACTCATAGGATTCAACTCCAATAAAGGTAGTCCTCGACTTACAACAGTTTGACTGTTTGAACTTACAACAGCACTGAAAAAAGTGACTTATGACTGTTTTTCACACTTAAGACCATTGCAGCACCCCCATAGTCATGTGATCAAAATCCTGGCAACTGATTTGTATTTATGACAGCTGCGGTGTTCAGGGTCATGTCATTACCTTTTGTGACATTCTGACAAGCAGGGTCAATGGGGAAGCCAGATTAACTTAACAAATCTGTTATTTGCTTAACAACTGTAGTGAGTAACTTAACAACTGTGGTAAAATGGGTCATAAAATGGGGCAAAATTCACTTAATTGTCTCTCGCTTAGCAACAGAAATTTTGGGCTCAACTGTGGTAGCAAGTCAATACTACCTGTATATGATGCATTTTGAATCACGGTATACTATTTCACTGTTTGACTCCTGGCACAATGTTATCTGGGAAGTTCAGTGCTGAATTTCAGTAAAGTACATTTACAGAAGCCATAAGAGACCAATACAGTATGAACTAAAAGCACCGATATGTCTATTGACTAATCCTACTGCATTCATTAAGCAATGTATTTGTCAAGAGTATTTTACTTCCTTCTGATTATTTTTAATCAGAAAAACAGATTTACCAGCATAACTGGTAAATAGATGTAAGAGGAAGATATTTAATATATTGAATGACTCCTCTCATCCGGGACATCAGCTCTTTGAACTATTACCATCGAGAAGGAGATTCAGGGTATTAAGAACAAGGACGACTAGATTTAAGAACAGTTTTTATCCAAGTGCAGTTTTGAGTTTGAATGCAGGGTCATAAGATTTTGTGGAATTTAATGGCTGAGAGTAATGGGGTATTTACATTTTTAAATTGTATAGAGATTATTGTATGGTCTGTTGTGTTTAATTTTATTTTTCTTTCAATGGTGTTGTCCAGTTTTACTTGTGGAAGAGCACCTCATTTCGTTGCACCCGCTTGCGAGTGTAATGACAAATAAATTCTTATGTCTTATAACTGATTTTTACTTTTTTTTTAGATTCTAATGTAAGAATACTCAGACATGCTGTACAAAGCAATACCAGCCCCTAGCAGCATTTGTTATTTACTTAAGCTCCACATTCATTCTTGGAAAAATATAAATACTGCCTCATCTGGAATGTATCTCCCTACTCATTAAAAAAGTTGGAGTGGCAGAGTCGATCTATAGAATCTATAAACTATTGCAATAAAATGTTATGACTAATCAGTATAACCATTTTTAAGACGCCTACAATGTTAGCAAAATCTATGTTATTTCCACAAAAGCAAAAGAGTAGGCTGCCTCTGCTTTATTTACTGTCTAACTTAACACAATGTAGGTGTTACTTGCAGGGGTTTGTCACTGAATCTTCTTTCTCCATGAAGCACAACTACTTAAAATATTTTTGTTATACTAATGCACACCAGAAAATACAGTGCAAAACATCGTTAGGAAAAACACAACTTCCTCTCCTAATTTACATTACTTCTTTTCAACTACCGTATTTTACAATGTCTTTAATGCTTAGCCTGTACAACCCACAGCTTCTTCTATTTACAAAAGTAGCCTGAAGTATGCTAACTTTTTTTTTAAGAAAATGCTATTTATACACTTGGAAAATTCAGTTTGGTAATGTTGAAATTCAAATCCATGAAGCCTTAGGTCAGTCCTGGTCAGCCTAACATACCCACAACCGTTGTAAGAAGAAAGACAATGGGAGAACAGAAAGAGTATATGCTGCCCAGAGCTTCTTTCATGATAAGGATGAAAGCAACAGATTTGGCTGGCTAAATCTCTCTCGTCATGCAGGGCTGAAGTTACTGCTTTATTGAGGCAGGCCCAACAGAAAGCAACATCACCCCAACAAAAAACAATTTTTGCAGGGAAAGATCCTGAAGTCAGCAGGGCACTTGTGCTTTTTCCTCAAAGCCAGATCTTTCCAAGTCTTAGACAACCTGCCCTACAATTCCAAACTGAAACTGGGGCGAGAATAATTAGGCAATTCCTCTCTATCAAAGCCTATCATTTAGGCACCAGAAAAGCAAGATAAGTTTATGCATATTTGTTAAATTTTTATCTGGCTCAAGGGAGACTACAAAACGCTCACTTTGTCGTCGTGCCCCCCCACCCCCATTAACCCTGGGAGGTAAACTGGGCCAAAAGAGCAATCGGAGGAAGGAAAAGTCCAAAATTGGCCAACGAACTTCCATAGATGGGTTAGGTTTGCACTTGGTTTCCCTGGGTCCTAGTCCAAGAGGGTAACCACCTACCAGATGATTGCTCAGAACAAAATCAGTGGAAAGCGGCCACAAGGGAAGATTAGACTGACAGGACAATGTGATTGTAGAATAAAGCATAGGAGGGCAGCATAAATCTACACGCCCGGACTTCAAAAGGGCTAACAGAACAGCCCAAACCAGTTAGTTCCCTTCTGATAGCGCAACTTGAATAAACCTTTTTTTTTTTGAGGGGTGTGTGTGTGAAAGCATGCTAAGACCAACCATCCCGAGGGGCTTTTTTTAAAAAAAAAAACTGCCAAGGAATAGGATCTCCCCCGGGGTGACAGGCCTCGGTGGGAATGCGGACAACTGCATGCCGGGCAGCGCTGCAAAGATGCGCGTTCCGCCCTTTGGATGCAGCGCAGACGGCGACGTTTCCTCCTTTTCCCTGGAATGATTGCAACTCACCAGACGGAGCCGTAAGCTCCAGACCCCACCGGCGACAGGTTCTGGTAACGCTCGGGCACCTCCCAGATCGTCTTGTTCAGCTCTTGCCGGTAGAACTTGGGCCGCTCCTGGGTCATCTCGACCCCCAAGTCCGCCCCACCCAGCGGGGCCGAGAGGGAGGAGACCCTCGAACCGGGGACCTCGGCTCCTCCCCCTGCAGCGAAAGGGAGTTTCCCGCGCGGAGGGAGGAGGTGGGAAAGTCACCCGCGCCTAGCTGCAACTTCGGTCGCTTGGCCGCAGCGGCTCGCCCCGAACGCCTTGCACCGCTTGCAGCCCCTCCTCGGAAGGAAAGGAGAAGGACCGCTGCAGGAACAGTGGCCGGGGCGGGGGAGGACACCGCAAGCGCTCACTTCTCCAGGCTGCCCAATCCCTGACGGGAAAGGCCACCTAGGTCTAAGGAGACCCGAGCTGGTTTAAGAGTCGAGCAGGGACCCAGGCAATGACGAAGACGCGCCAGTCTGACTTCGCCGAACCTCTTCCTAGATCCTCGACCAATCGATCGCGGAGGTATCGCGAGATCTGCGGCTCGGAATCGCTAGAGGCAATGCCCCAATATGGAACCTGATTCCTGCGGCCTATACGAGCGCAGCCCGCTGGGACGGTCTCGCGAGATCTATGAAGGAGAGAAACTGAGGAAGGCGGAGTTTGAGGCAATTGTAGGAGTTGCCTTCCTGGGGTGGAGGGGTTATTTTGACAGCGCGAGCCCGGTTTTATATCTTCTTGCTTTTCTTCCCCGTTGCTATGGGAAAGGCTGCAGCTCGGAGCTTTAGGGCCAAGAAGCACCGTAATCTTCATTGCGACATTTCTAAGGCAGCCTCTTTGATTTAGAGATTAACGTGAATTCCTGTCATGAGAAGTGCTTTTTTCCCACCTCGTTTTTGCTTAACCAGCTTAAATGTCTATCCAGGGTTGTCCCAAAGGTGCTTTTTCAAGAGGCATCTGGACTTTCTGGTTTTCTTTGAAGACGTTTCGCTTCTCGTCCAAGAAGTTTCCTCAGCTTAACCAACCTAAGTTACTGAAGCTGCTGGATTTCCCCTTATTTTCCAATTTGCTTTACTCCACAGCAGTTGTTGTCTTACTCAAGAAATCAAAAGCGCGCACAACTCCAGCGTTTCCTCGTACTGACCTAGTGTTGATGCCATATATTCACCCGTATGAAGAACCGAGCTGGTGTTTTGCTCGTTTGCAAATCTCCCATTCTTGGCAAAGGGGCAACTTACTAACAGTCAATGCACGTCCCCGTCTTCCCCCCTCCTCCCCAGGAACAGGATCTGCAAAGGGGAATCACGCTTTATACATCGTATTACCTTCAACTTACTGGTTAAATGTACACAGCCACCCCATGATCTCACACAAGGTGACCGTGGGCGACCTACAACAATCAATTACCAAAAACCCATTTAAAATGTAGAGGACATGTCATATATTAGACGCCGCTCTGCGGAAAGATACCGTAATTCTTCAAGAATGCGAAAGTAACACAACCCCTACATCTCACGTTTAAAGTCGAGCCCCAAACACATCAGGAATGTCTCTAACAGCCGTCTCAAAACGGCTTGCAATTCTGCAGCAGTTTCAGATACTGCGACCTGCCACGCCACCTGCCGATGGATGAGGACCCATCAGAAACCAGTTGCCGAAACAACCGCTCGGATTGGGACCCCCGAAAGGCGTTCTTGCCCCTTTGAATCTCAGGTTGGCTGTGCCTGTGACTTGAAACTTCGCCCGCAAGCAGAATTGACGGCGGAGACGTCACAATTCTCTGTCTAGCTACGGCACCTCGCTAACGCACGCCAGGCGGAGTTTTTAACCCTTGCCCCGCTCTCTGACCCCGCCAAATCCGGCGAAAACCGAAAGGGAAAACAACGGGCTGCGGAGGGGGAAGCGCATGCGCTCCGCACATGGGACAGGGGGAGGCGGCCGAGGAGCCTAACGCGCGGCTTCGCCCACCCATGCAGAGGAGGAGGGGGCGGTGCCGTACGCGCTTGGAAGAGCCGGGGGGCGTGGCTTTCCTTAGTAGTCCCAGCTCGGAAGGAAGTGACAGCAGCGGCGGCGGCGAAGAAATTTGGTGGCGCGCACAACGGCGCGCGAAGATACCGGCCGTACGCACGCGCCGGCCGGCCCGCCCACGCCCGGCGCAGGCGCACGGAACACCTTTAGAGCGCACGCGCGGGAGCTCAGCGGGGCTGCCGTCGCTGGCCGCCATGGAACGAAAAGGTGAGCGCGTTGGGCTTTTTTTTTTTGTCCGGTTTTTTTTTTTCTTCCCCCTTTGCTTAATTCGCCTCAGGAAGGGGTTGCTCTTCTTGGTCTTCCTTTAATTTGAATTCAGTCTGCTGCTCTGACCTAAATGATTTGGGTTCTGGGTTCTTTTTAGTATACTTAATAATAGATGCCTGTTGCATTTTTCAGGTATGTTGACAGTGATGTACTTTTTGAGCGTCTGCTTACCTCTCCCCTTTGTGTGTACGAGATGGAGACTATGATACTTTGTCTCCACTTAGGTTACGTTCTTAAGGAAGAAAAAATAATCTGACGGGGTCATATAGCTTATCATTGAAATTGAACATAAATGGTGCTGCTGGTTAAGGATTTGTAGACCAAAGATGATGCTAAAAATTAAAGTTTTTGTATCCGATTTTGATTCAGCATTCTTCTTCCTCATCTCTTTTCAGTTTTAGCATTGCAAGCCCGGAAAAAACGGACCAAAGCCAAGAAAGAAAAGGCCCAGAGAAAGTAAGTGTTCCCTATTGGGTTTCAAATCAAGGTAATTGTTGAAAGTTGTATATTCTGAACTGAAATAAAGGGGGAAAAGTCTAGTAAACATTCCTGTATAACCCAGTATTACCAGCCTGTCCTTATGGCAGCATGTGTACTAAAATATGTGTTTAATTTCTATTAATACATTTATCATTTTTTCTAAAGTAAGTTTAATGGAATTTATCATAAAAATGCTACTAGGATATTTGAATCACATATAAAACAGAGCCAGACTTACATTGTATGTTCTCGCCAGCCCTGGGTATTTTGCTACTGTACTTTAATTTTCATGGTTATTATTTGGGTCATAATAGCCATTTAAGCACTTTATGGAAAAACCCTACCTTCTGCCTCTGAGAGATCTGAAATATCTAAAGTTCCTTTTGGATTTGCACCATTCCCCCCTTCTTCTTGCTTATTGTTTAGCTAAAGGCTTTACTTTATGCAACTTAAGTATTGTTGTTCAGTTTAATTTTAAAGCTTCATTTTATAGCCATGGGCAAAATAGGAACTCCACATTTTAACAGTACTGGTTTATACGTTGCCTTCAGCTCTCACCTTCTAAAATGGATTGATTTCAGTTAAACTTACTATTGAATAACAGAAAATTATTGCTTGTATACTGAGAAACTCTTTATTTACATTTAAATAAATTCAATTGTCTCTCTATAATTTTATACCCTGTGGAACATTTTAAGGCTGTAATATACTCCCTGGTAAGTGTGTAAGCTTGTTGCACACTAATTTATTTACTTATTAGATTTTTATTTTTAAGGAGGTTACCATTGTGTGACTCTTGATGACCACAAAGAATAAAATTCCATGGTCCAAATAATATTGTAATAAATGCAACCATTAAAATGTGTCATTAATTGGCTATCAGAATGATATGTAAATAACCCCTGAAGCTCTATCCTAACTACTTAAAAAACCATTCACAAGCGCTCCTTTTTTAATTTGCTTCCAGAAAACCACTAGGGTCAATGCAAATCTAACTTCTTACGTCACATCATGGGTTCCATAACAGAAGACCTCCTGGGTTGTTCTGATTTCATGAAAATGGAACACTGCACTTCTTTCTTGGTTAGGCTAACGCTGTTTGAAGTAGACAATCATGAATGTGCTTCAGCCCTAGGCCATTTAGAACTGCAGTCATTAGAAGCTTATGAATAGAGTAAACTCTTAATTTACTGCACTAATAAGGTGAAAAGATGTCCATCAAAGCACTATTATCTATATATGTACATGAAATTGGAATGAATAATTAGGCACGTGCAGTTAATATACGTCAGACATATGGGAAATGGTGACTAGATATGGACAGATTGTTGCATTTAAGTTCCATTAAGGTGTGTGTGGGTGTATACATACGCACATGTATACATGTATGTATATGTGTATGTTTGTATTTGTGTGTGTGTATACACACACTCACTCTCTCTCATATGTTAATTAGAATATAAAATACCATGGACTGTCTGCACATTTATCTTCTCATATAAGCTCTGCAAAGAAGCAATAGCAATGCGGTCTCTTTATTGCAGTTCCCAAACAACAAAGGCAAAATGCACTTTTTCAGCTGTTGGTTTGAAGCTGTTTCCAGTTGCATGTGTATGAAATATAATTCTGACATTTGGCGTTCTGAAACTACAGAATTGTACCAGTAAGAAATCTTGTAATGCCCAAATAGTATATAGTTTTGCATTTGACAGCCTGCATGAAAAGTAAGTGCAATATGTAGTGATAACAGCATGATATTACAATCAGTGAACTCTTCACAGAAAGAAATTCAATTGCAACACTAAATGTGTCTGTTGGACATACAGCAATGTTACTTTTTATCTGTTTTTTTCTTTTCTGTGAAACTCCTGTACCCCTTTAACTAATTCAGGCACTGGCTAGCAGGGATGAATTTAGCTAATCCTTTCTCCAAGTTTCTGTGATTTAGAGGAATTTAAACAGGAGGATGAATCATGCAATTTGGACATATTCAAAAGTTATTGGACATTTGATCCACCTTTAGGATGCACGTGATAATTTGTAGAAATAGAAATTACGATCAGTTTTTGAGCATTAGTAAAATTATTAATTTGATAGAAATACTTAAAATATTTTTATATTTTCAAATAGCTAATAAACCGCAGAATTGCTTTGCCTGCCCACACATATTTTTGCTATTTATCTGCCTTCTTTTTTCTAAAAGAAAAAAGAACTAACTTTGGAAATTTTCCTTCTGTGGAATTAGGCTGTGCTCATATTTGATCAAAATGGTCATCAGTAAATTGTAGTACTGTACGTGATATTTGATAAAGACAGGTATCAGATTCTTGTGGAAAGTTTATTTTTTTGGAAAGAAGGTCACACATTTGATGCAAGTGGCAGGTATACCACACACACATACATTTACAGGATTATGTGTATGGAATCCCTTATAAGTTGCCTTCTAATTATCAATATTAAATTACCAAATATGCTCATCTGTCAAGTTCAACCGATCACAGAGTGGTCATTAAAGAAGGCTCACCTGTAAACTCTTGATGTTAACCCTAACCCTAACTGATGGGAATTACCGATTACCTTTGAATTTGCACTGTTTGTGTAATCACCCAACATTTTTGCTCTAATCATTAAGTAAATCACCATAGTACCTAAGGGAAACATCAGGTGACTGTGACTTGTGACCTTCTGTGATGGCTTCCCAGTGATTTTGCTTGTTGGAAGCTGGCTGGGAAGGTCGCAAATGGCAATCATGACCCTGAGATCTACAACTGTCATAAATTCAAGCCGGTTGCCAGGAGTCCCAAGGATGAGCATATTTTTCAGGAGGCAACTAGACTTTCTTGTTTTTCTTTGAAGACATTTAGCTTCTGATCCAAGAAGCTTCTTCACCTCTGACTGGATGGTCCTCTGATCCTTCCATTCCCCACCATCCAGTCAGAGCTGAAGATGTTTCTTGGATCAGAAGCTAAATGTCTTCAAAGAAAAACAAAGTCCAGTTGCCTCCTGAAAAAGCACCTGTGGGACAACCATGACCTGGATGACTGAGAATCTCCATAAACAGTTGCCAGGAAGTCATTTTTCAGCTCCATCATAATGTTGAAAGATTGCTAAATGAATGGTTGTAAGTTGTAGACTGGAAAGGGGTAGATAAGATTAACAGATTATTTGTGATGTATATTCAGACCTAGACATGATATACTTTGGCAAATGGATTAATGTTACTGTTACAATTCTTGGCTTTTATTTGGTTTGGTTTTTATTAAGCATTTTATATACCTAAATTCATGTCTACTAGTGGTAAATACCTGTACATAGTTCAATTTCTGGCAGTTATAGAATAACAAAGTTGGAAGGGACCTTGGAGGTCCTCCAGTCCAATTTCTGCTTGAGCAGGAGATCCTATACCATTCCAGACAAATGATTGTCCAATCTCTTCTTGAAAATATCCAGTGATGGTACATACATATCTGGAAGCAAGCTGTTCCACTGCTTAATTGTTCTTGTAATCTTAATCTTTAAATAATTAACCTATTGATTAGTATTTATCTAGTTAGTATTACAAATTAATATTGTTTAAGTTCAGGGGCAATAAAAAATTTTATTCAGGTACATTGCAAAGTATATTGTAATTCTTCACAAACATCTGTTTTGCGACTTGCATGTGATTTGCGGTGTCACTGAAGTAATAATGCTATAAACATTTGATGCGGTCAGGACTGATTTTCATTTTCTATTGAGCTTATTAATTTTTCACAAGTTTCCAAGTTTACATAAATTATATTTAGCTTACATAAATTGAGTGACATTCCAGAAAAATCTATTCTAGACAGAGCTAGAATTGCAAGAAATAACAAAGCGATTACTAGGCTTTTAAAAATGTCTCTCCTTCCCTGATATTGTAATCAGAACTCCCTTGTAATCAGAATGATCTACTGTGGATTTTTTTTAAAGTTTTGAAGGGAGTAAATTATTCAGCAGAAAACTAAAAGCTTTCTTCTATTTTTTTTTATAAAAGCTAGACAACAAAATCGTTATCTGGGAAAAAGGCTGTTGAAAATAGAAAGCATTAGAGGATTATAATAAATATTCTGTCATTCTAAAGTGTAGCTAAATTTTGCAGGAAGCAAATCTGAAATCAGTCCTCCCCAGTGATGTTGCAAACCATTTACCTGCAATGCAGTGTTGTACATCTGCAGCTAGGTGGTGGAGGCATAGTCTGCTTTTTCTTCCTTCTGCACAAAGCTTTGCTGTATTCAGGGACGGCCAGCACCCTATTCACAATTTATGCATCCCATTAGCAGGACTAGGGTGCCATTTGGGTTTTATGGATCATTTGAAAATTGTTGATTTATCTTCAGAGGTACTACCTTCATCAATGGGTGTACGTGCTTCATGCAGGTAAGCTCCCCCACCTCCATTTTCTTACTCATGGGAGAATGTGATTTCAAGAATTACAATTTTTCAGAAATGTAGTACTTGAAATCAGATCTTTGGAATTATTGTAACATCTCTTTGTCTCCACTTGTAAATCATCTTTTAATTTGATGGGATTAAAATAATAGTTGCAGATTATTCTTTGATTTACAGTCTGTTTTAAAATAAACCTTTTAACAGCATTATTTGATTTTACAAAGTGTGTGTAGATTTATATTTCAGGCGTATAGCAATAGTAAATTTGGGTGCATTTTAAAAGGTTGTGGCAGGAAGAGTTACATAGTGAACATTGTTAAGACTTAATTGTAAAAGGATACATTCTTTGTGAATAATAAATAGGATAAGTCTCTGAATATGTTTAGACTTATATTCTCTGACAAATAATTGTCATTTTAGAAGTATAACATCTTAACATGTCTAAAAGCAAAGATATGATTCTTTAGTTTCCTTTAGATGAAGAACAAAGGCAGCCAAATCCTTTATGGAGACTTTCTAGTAACTTCCTTGCTACAAGAAAGTTGTGCATGTTGAAGAAACAAATGATTGCAGAATATCAGACAGCATTCTGATTAAAACATTATTACTGAGGTTTAGCAAAAGTCACAGCAGCTAAATATGCATTAATTGATTGAAGTATTGTACAATGTGCCTTAATGATTCAATTTTACAATATTTATGGCATAATTAAAAGCTGCTTTACTAATAGATGTAGCTTTTAGTTGGATATAAATCTTATTTACTTGTTTGATCTCTAGATTCAAGAATTACAAATTATCCTTTTCTATATTGCTCTTAGCTGTCAAATTTCCTATTAAACACAAAATCAAATAAACTGTAATTTACCTGTGTGGGTTCAATTTCTGTTAGATGGGTTCAATCTTATGTAGATTTATTATTTTTCCTTATATAGGAGATTTGAATTGCAACCATTGGAGGTAAAGGAGAGGAATGTTCATAAAAGAATGCTTATTCATTGTTCTAATAGTGTATCTAGATATTACTTATAGGAAATAATACTTAATCATTCTTATTTTTTTACCAAATCATAAATGGGTGTAAAATTGGATATTTCAGGGTTTTCTTCTACAAAAATAGTTACTTAGGTATGAACTATCATCATCAGATAGTTCTAAATATTTCATTGATTAAATCTTTTATATTTCCTGTATTTTATTAACGTTTATTACCATTTGGTCACAATAAATGCTGCTATTGGAGGGGCTCCCAGATAAGTAGTTCCATATCTGGAATTCTATTCAGTTTCTTCAAAGCCGTGATTCATAAAGATATCTGCTATAGGACTATAAGAAGCTTCATTTCTTTCCAATAAAAATTTGAATGAAGCATCCCAGTGAAGTTTTGAACAAAGCAACAATGATTCCCTCACAAGAGAGTTCACCCAACAGGCAGGACTGTAATCTGTTAGGCAAGCTCACAAGAAACCATGAGATCTTGATAAATAATTCTGTACTGAAGTAAAGTTAAATCATATTCCAAGAATTTTAATGACAGCTTTAAGCCTTAAGCCTTATATAGAGAAACAATATTTAACGTGTGAAATCATTTTTTGTTCTGTTCTTATGTAATGGACTACTGGTCCTCTCTTTGTATGGGATGCCTGATTTTCATCCATTTTGGCAATGTCAGTTTGTTATTGTGTTGTTTTTCATTGTCTATATAAGAAATAACTCTTCACTTCTAAGATGAAACTGACTTTGTTAACTTCAGAGCACCTCCCATGTTTTAGAGCTTGTACTCTGGAAAAAGATTGAGGGGATCCTTTTCCTATAGCACCATCTCAGGGGCCTCCTGAGATAGGCAATTTCACTGTGAGTTCTGGGGAATTCAAAGATTATATGCTGAGCAACTGAATCACTACAGCATATGCTGAGTCAACTTTGGTTGGAATCTCCTTGAGTTATTTGCTAGAGCTATTTGGCCATGTTGAGATTGGCCAATGGAACCATAAAAGCTCCTCTGGCCTTTTCCATTGGAAGCTGACCAATAATGAAATGGGGCCAAAATCCTTTGGGGAGTCCTGTTGAGAAAAGCCTTATGAGAAGAGCCTTTTTCATGCCCATCCAGGAAGCCCTTCAGGCAATGCATTTGAGAAGATAATTCTGCCACACTGGCCAAAGTATTCAGTGTGCATCACTGAAGATATGTGCTGGAGATCTTCTATGTAGGGTAATATTAGGAAGACTGCAAGCAATCCCAAAGTTGCTTTGTTTGAAAACTTCTCACCCAGCCCTATAGAAAAAGGCTTACAGGAGATTTCTCCTTCAGCATAAGCCTGTGATGATATCAGATCACACAAATTGCTTTTTCAAGGCAAATAGGGAGTACTGTTTGCTTGGAGCAGCAAATTGGGTTGCTTTTGCTATCTGAATTCAGATCAGTGTTTGAATTTGCAGGCCTAATCTGCAATAAGGCAGCTGAAACAAGCCAAGGCCACTACAGGTTGTCTTTGTTTAGTGGCTGTTCAAAGTTATAGTGGCACTGAAAAAAGTGACTTTACCGTTTTCACAGTTATGACCTTTAGGGCATCACGGTGTCATGAGATCATGAGAGCACTTCATAATTGGCATGTATTTATTTATGACTGTTGCACTATGCTGGAGTCATGTGATTATCATCTAACCTTCTTAGCTGGCTTCTGACAAACGAAGTAAATGGGGGAATCCAGATTCACTTAATGACATGATTCATTTTAACAACTGCAGTGATTCCCTTAACTGTGGCAGAAAGGTCATTAAATTGGGTACAATTCACTTAACAGCTGTCTTGCTTAGCAATGAAAATGTTGGGCTCCATTGTGGTAATAAGTCGAGGACTAGCACTATAAGGAAATTCTATAGAAAATAATTCAGAGTCCCAGAATTTTTTGTTTTTATTGATTCCACCTGCTTTCTTTGCAAGCATTTCGAGCCAGCATTTCTAGTCTAGGAATTATTATTCAGAATAATTCTGAGAAATATGAAAGAATTAATGATGTAATACATAAATGTTACAATTTTAGAGAATTGCATGAAAAAGATGTACAGGATGGATGGCAAAACCACATTCTAAACCATACTTCACTGCCTGGTTTCTGTAGTCGACATTTCCTCTTCCGCTATTTTTCTTTTGAATTGGCATTGGCGGGCATAGAAATTTGCTTCCCAAAGTAGTATTTCCCTCAGTGATCTCTAGTATAGAACCTTGTAATATAACAACTATATAAAGTACAGTTGTATTTGTTGATAATGTAACAATTGATGTAATTTGCAACTCTTTAAGTATCACTAATTTAAATATTGATGCTGAGATGGATATTGAGAGCCAGTTTGGTGTGGAGCTAAGGTGCTTACCAGGAGACTTGAGTTCCAGACCTCCCTTAAGCATGAAAGCTGGCTGGGTGACTCTTAGCTCAACCTACCTTATTAGTCGTTGCCATGGGGAAAATAGGAGCTGGGAATATTAGGTATGTTCACCATCTTAAGTTTAACAATAAGCCAAAAGAGATTAAAAAGTCAGAATAAATTAAATAATTCAGTAATTATAGATTTAAGCCATTTGACAGCATATTTATATTTAGTCCTCACTATGTTTTCAGCAAGATGCTTAAGGCAGTTTCTTAACATGTATTTGTTAACTATTGTGTTCACCAACTTGCTTTCCTTGTTTGCGTTCTTTAATTAGATACATTATTTAATATAATGTCTGAAGCAGCTCTAAATTTCCTTTTTTGTAGGCTGAGAGTATATAAAATGAAATTAAGAAATACGATCATTTTTGAAAATGAATTGAGTTAAAAACATTGTGGTAAAACTGGCTAAATAAATAGTTCATAATGTAGATTATTTAGATGGCAAACCAGGTATACACTCTTTTTTTTCTGTCATCTTAAATTATTTAAAAATAATATTCATTAGATATTGCCAGCCTTCCTTTCTGATGCATTCTCAAAGTGGTAGACATTGTAGAACTTTATATGTAATGGCTTTGTGGTAATTTTGAGAGTCATGTGGGCTTCTACACACTGTCTTTTTACAGCTATGCCCAGCCAAGAGCATGTTCTAGAATTGATGCCAATCTGTGGCAAAGTTAGGTTTTCATTCTGGTTGAAGCCATCCATTTCTCGTAAAAAATACCAGTGAGCGCCTGTGCTAATGGGAGTGAGCCTTGAAGCAAAACTGGAAAATGGCTTAGAACAGAGTTGTTTATGAATTTTGGAGTCATTCCCCCTCCTCCGCCCTCCCAAGATCTGGACAGCTCTCATTCTCAAGAAGACCTTGAAGACCTAGTTATTTTCTCAGACCTTGAGGTGGGGATGCATGTGACACTCCTTTGTTAGGAGTGATTGAGTTTTTGTTATGGTTGTTTCATTGTTGATGTTTTTGTCTAGACTATCATTGTGGTATTTCTCTCCCTGTGTGTGTGTTTTTTTTTATGTTATTGTATCTATATTCTGTTTTAAATTGTGAGCTGCCCAGGGTCATTCTGGAATTGGATGTGCCAAAATAAAAAAATAAAAAAATAAAACCTCTATTTGCCTATGACTAGATAAGCGGTAGGGGATTGTTACCATATATCTGCACTATGCTTTCAATGAAAATATTTTCTAGTGCTCAGAGAATCTCTAAAGTAAGCCCAATTTTAGGAAAACCAACTGGGAATGATACCAAAAGGCTTGTTTTCAAAAGTGGGTAGGTCTGAAAAGGTTTGCATTCTCTGCAAAATTACTGCACAATATTTTGAATAATAAACGTAGTTTACTATAGCTAACTTAAGACAATTTGTTTTCTTTTTAAAAAATGAGGACTCTATTTATATATCTAGCCCTATGTTTAAACAGCATTTTACTCCTTGCTTATTCTTTATTCCTCTCCTTATAAACTTACAAATTAAACATTTGTGCTGTATCTTAGGCCTGAAACTCAACACCGTGGCCCTACTGCCCATGCAGAGAATGACCTTCCTGAACAAGAAGAAGAAATACTGGGATCAGATGATGATGAACAAGAAGATCCCAATGATTATTGCAAAGGTATGCCATTACAATTGTAGATTTTCTACATTTTCAGCATGTTTGTTTTAGGCCAATAACTCTAGGCTAATATTATGACTTGATGAAACCTTTATATAAGCCACGTTATGAATTTGCTTTTAAAGGAAAACAAGGATTCATTTATTGAGATGAAATCATGGCTTAAAAGATTTGAAACTGTTTATAATAAGAGCAGTTATATCCTAAGTTATGTCTTTGTTAAATAAAACTTAACAATTTAATATAATAACTTCAAGATGAAGGAATATGCTTGCTTCAGATATATTTTATATACCTAACTTTCCTTAGGTATGAAAGTACTAGGTAATCTTGGGTTAGTCACTCTCTTAGCCCAACTCACTTCACAAGGTTGTTGTTGTGGGGAAACTAAGAGCAGGAAGGAGTTAGGTATGCTCACTGCCTTAAGTGATTTATAAAAATAGAGGCAAAATAGAAATAAATTAAATTTAAATAAATCAATATTTAAATGGTTCACGAATTCCAGAAGGAGCAGCTATTGCCCTTTGATGGGCAGAAAGACTCAGACTTTACTCTCTGCTTGGTCAAGGTGACAACTAGTTTGTTTGGACACACTTTGAAGGAAAGCTTGGAGTGCAGCCTGACTAGATGCACAGTGCTTTGTGTATACAAAGCTGGCTTGCCATGAGAATTTATTCCAGATCTACCTGGTGAAAACAACAAGCCTAGGAAATTACACAAGTTTTTCCAAGCAAAAAGGGCTCCAGCTTCTTGCACACTTAAAACTCAGTTACTGTCAGAAGATATCCCAATGAAATAATTACTTTTATTCATAGAAGGGAGAGTGTTATAAAAATGGATACTAGAAGTAATTTAGGAAATCATAGTGCCACAAAGTTTCAGAACCATGCCATAAAGCTTTCGTTAAAACTATACTATAAGGTGTTATAAAAGGAAAAAATAATTTAAAAATAGTTTAATAAACATGAACATTTTAGAAGTAAAACACAGTAAATGGTTAGTAGCCCAGAAAATTAAAAAAATATCAATAGTCCTTAAATATTTGATAGAAGTAAATTCATGTAAGGCCTGCATGCCTAGTGTTTCCTGATTTGCCTTCTAGTTAATGGGAAAGGTGAGGGATTCTTGGGAATCTCGGTCACCATATAGAAAAAAGGCCTACGGTTAGAAAAAGTGTTAGATTTTGTAAAAATGGTAGAATTCTTTGTGTTCAAATTACTATGTAAATATATTTAATGCTACTAATATAAAAAGCACGTGTGGTATATGATATAGCAAAGATTAAAAATTTGTTCCACTGAAATGCATTTCCTCCTCTTCAATGAAAAAGAATTTCTAAAATCTACTAATTGTGGAATACCTGTTATTGACAATTCCGGTTATGTGAATCCAGTATTTTAACATCTCTCTTAACAAAATACGGGAAATCCTTGCCCTACCCAATCTCGGTCATTCACCAGCAAATGCAAAAATATGGAACTGAAGGCCAGGCCTACTTCTTACTTTATCATACCCATGAGTGCTTTTGATGATTTATTAAACTACAGTATTGTATTTATTTAGCTTGATTTATTGGTTTTTATACTGTAAAATTTTCTGAGTTGTCTGCATTTAAGCGTGTATAAAGTTATGTGAATATATTTAACTTTTTCTGTTGACGTTACAACATATCCTCAATTTAACTGTATTGATTTAATAATTCACCATACATTTTGTAGGTGGTTATCATCTAGTAAAAATAGGAGATCTGTTCAATGGAAGATACCATGTAATCCGAAAACTGGGATGGGGACACTTTTCTACAGTGTGGTTATCGTGGGACATCCAGTAAGTCTTCTTTGGTTGGAGTTTCTGTTAATTGTTCAATGACTATTATAGATAAAAAGCACTTTTTTCTTTATCCTATTACTTTGAAATCCAGAGGATTCCTATTGTGTTTTATAAACAGAGTGAGTGATATGGATGTAATTATCAAATGTATTTTATTAGGATTTATATTCATCCCTTTGTATCATTTGTTCCTGGTTACATTTCATAGGCCTTGGGGATAATACTTTGCTCAAGAATGATCTAGAACAGGGGTCCCCAACCCCCGGTCCATGGCCTGGCACCAATCCATGGCATGCCAGAAACAGCCGTGCAAACAAGCGAAGCCCCATTCACAGCAGGCAGCACACGAAACCATTCCTCCTCCATTCTGCAGAAAAACCTCTTTCCACAGAACTGGTGCCCAAAAGATTGGGGGCCACTGATCTAGAGTAAGCTGTCTCCAACCACCCTCTGCTCACATTCACCACTCATAGGGCACAGCTCTGAGCTCCCATATTTTTATCTGTCAACATTATGTGGCTCCTAAAAACAGTTTGAAATTAAACTTTGTGTCCATTAGGGGGAAGAGGTTTGTGGCAATGAAAGTTGTAAAGAGTGCTGAGCATTACACAGAAACAGCTTTGGATGAAATTAAATTGCTGAAATCTGTGAGTATACAGAAGTAAATAATTACAATATAGCTTCAAACTTACAATTGTTAAGACATCAGGAGGTGGTTGTGGTTCTTTCAGATTTGTTTTTCCAAGTTGTGAAAAGAAGCACTGTTTGTCACAACTGGCTAACCTTGCATGTCTGTTTCCTTTCAGATGTAGGTAATAAAAGAAATTTCAGTTTTTGTGTGCTTAAAATATGGTTGGATTTAGTTAAAATAATCCTTGAGAGTGGGGAATTTTGATATACTGCTCATGTCATCATCTGCAGATGTCATTAACATTTTCTAATAGTATGTTTTCAGGAGAATTTTATAAAGGGATTGAAAATGGGAAATGCAATTTCATGAGATGGAATATTAATTATTGTCTTAAGACCAGATAATTTGGCCATATGTTTTTTTTTAAAAGCTGGCATGTTGACAAAAAGAAGTGCTAATGTGGGAATGTGGTATCTAAAAACAGAAATGATGATGCATTTGAATACTAACTCTTAAAAAAGCAATAAGAGGATCTAGAAAAATTCTTAGAAGGTTTGGAGGAAACTTCCTGTACTCATTTTCTTCTGTCATTTGATGTTTTTCCTCTCTCTCCTTTATACAGGTCCGCAATACTGACCCAGATGATCCAAATCGAGACGGGGTAGTTCAGCTTTTAGATGACTTCAAAATCTCAGGAATTAATGGTTCCCGTATCCTTTTAATGGAACAGATGACAAAGCTTGGGTTGAAACCATAAATTTATATAGCCTTTAATGCATCGTAACACTAATTTCTGTCCATTGTTCAACCATTACAACTCATGTGGCTTTGACTTTGCTGTAGTATTTAATAGCAGAATTATTAGTACTTACATCCCAAGCTTATCCAACTACTGCATGCCGACATGCTTGTTAGAAGCCAGGGCACTTTTTTGGGGGGGGGGGGGGGGGGGGGGGAATGTATAGCATTTTTAAACTGGGGAAAAAGGCAAATTCAGATTATAGTGGAAAGAGGTTTATTTTGGTATTGGAAACTTAAAAAATTAATAATTTCATCCCATGTGGTTCTAATCTGTATAAATTCTGCATTCAAATATGGAATGGTCTATAAATCTATTAACACTGTACCATCAGTCATGTTTCCTGATCGCATTCAGTCACAATACTATAAGCCTTACAGATGCTGTAAAGAAGTTAATGCAGACAAAAAGAATACTAATACAAAATTTCAAGAGAAATTTCATTATTGGAATAGTCTAGAAAATTACCCTTGACTCCTCTCAGATATTTGTATGGTATTTGAAGTTTTAGGGCATCATCTTCTGAAATGGATCATCAAATCAAATTATCAGGGGCTTCCACTTCTTTGTGTAAAACAAATCATCCTTCAGGCAAGTTTCATATCTGTTTGATATATTTCAGTACTAATTTTGCTTTTAAAATTTGTTAAAAATACTTTCATCTTCAGGATTTACTAGCAAAACCTACTGTTGAATGGGTGAGATATAGATAGTCCTCTAGTTACAATAGTATTTGACATTGGCATTGCTAAGCAATGTGGTCGTAAAGCATGACATCACATGGCCTCATCCATTAGTAATGGCAACCCAGGCATTCTCAGTTGTTATTGTATCCCCAAGACAAGTTCATTGTTAAGCAGGAAGCACAGGGAGTCCCAATTAAGTAGTGTGGGATGTCATGGAGTGTTGGGGGAGGCCCAACGAGGCTGTATGAAGTTGAGGGTGTTCCTATAGTACAGCATGAGTTCAGGGAATCCAGAGAAAGCCGCCACAAAGTGTGTGAGGGAGGCTGGGGAAAGAGGGTGCAGGCATGCAGGCATGGAGAAGCTTGGAAAGGAAGGTGCATGCCTGTGTGCTGATGGGTCTTTTGGATGGACACACTCTTTGATATGACTCTTCATTGATATATTTGAGTGATAAAAAAAACCCTAATTTGTGCCGAGATTCTATTACTATTGAATCCTAAGATGAAATATCAGTCTGCTGGCAATTAATCAGTAATTTGTTTGAATCTGCACAATAATTTTTTATTGCCCTTTAATAATTGTTAGTATTGTGTTTTCATTTCTGGATGGGGTCGCATTCTCTCTGACTGAATTGGTTTATAATTTGGGAATCCTCTTAGAACTTCTCAAGAAGCAGGTGGCAATTCTTGGCTAGGAGAATCTTTGCACAATTCCTCGATGTGTACAGAAATCATGGCCATTTCTGTATCGAGAGGCCATAATATTACTTTGGTCTCCTTTCAGTTGGCCTGTTGCTATTCACTGTAGATGGATTTGACCTGAAGACCATCAAAAAGATACGGTAGGTCCCAGAAACAGTGACTGAAGTAGTTAAGAGTACTTCTCAATTTACTTAAGTACTCACTACTGCTAAAGCTGCACTGGTTAACATTTGGCTTCTAAATTTAAAAAAAATGGCATCCTAAATTTAGGATGCCGTTTTTTTTACCTTTAGAGCCTTATGTTGCTTGTAATCTGAATATAAAGTTTAAATGTTTTAAACTGGGGAAAGGTCCCATCCAATAAAGTCTAGTAAGGTCACCATTCAGATTCCATTTCTGATGGGTTGTTATTAGGGACAGCAGGATTGTGTCTCTTCTGTCCCTACCTCTCACCTTTGGAACAGGATTCTGCCTGAGGTCAGCATTAACCCTGTTGGCACTGAGAAAAGCTGCTCAAACTTGGCTATTATGGAAAGCCTCGGGAGGCTTTGTAAGACTGATCATCTCCTTAGAGTAGGCAATTATTGTTCTTATCCCTGTTTTGCGGGGAGGGCTGGGGATCATTGTTTGGGTTTTTATGTTTTTATTGTTTTATCTTTGAAAGCTGCCCAGAATTACTAAGAGTGAGGTGGGCAGTCATATGCATTTTGTTAAATGTAATTCCTGCATTGTTTGTAAGCTGCTTTCAGACTTCTTTGAATTGAGCTACATATAAATTTTAAAAACATTATAGAAGTAAAGAGGACAGGAAATTTAATGGGCCCAACCAAAGTGTCAGAGGGTACTTCTGAGCAATAATTTTATCTCATGGTAAAATTGTTTCCTTTTTGCAAAGCAAAAGCAAAGCAGGGCTGCAGGATCATAAATAAGTAGCTTTGTGTAGAAAAAAAAATCAGGGGGAAATAGAATATCTCACTAGGACACACCACAGACATCACTACGGTACAATATTTTGACATACAGCATTGAGATCTGAGCTGTCTGTTAGCATGCCATCTCTTCTGTGAGGAGGAATCATGTGAGTTAATAAGTGAAAAGTAAAGAGTATTGGGAAATGCTGCAAAAAAGGAGGTCAGATACATTATAAGCTGTACTTTCAACAGATGTGTTTAAAAATACCTCAGAGGAAAGCAAAGGAGAAATTTTCTGTACTGTTGTCCCCAAATTGAATAGCTATGTACATGAAATCAATTAGAAATTAAGCTTGATTCAAAGGAGATTACCTTGATTAAATTCTGTATCTTTTGTATTCCATTAAATGTACTATGTTGTACGCAACCTGAGTTGATTTTTTTTTATCTTTTGTGTTTTGCAGGTCTTGCAAGGTCTGGATTATTTGCATGCTAAATGTCGGATTATCCATACTGATATTAAACCAGAAAACATTTTGCTGTGTGTTAATGACCAGTACATCCGTAAACTAGCTGCAGAAGCTACAGAGTGGCAAAGATCTGGAGCCCCTCCGCCTTCTGGCTCTGCAGGTTTGTGCTTCCCAGTTGTTTTTACTTCAAATTTGGTTCATTCTCATGACAACCACAACTATTGCCATTAATCTCCTCGGTTCTTCTTTTTTTGGGGGGCTTGTTTTTTGCAGGGGGAAGATGGAGGGAAAGTGCTAACTTCTTTTTAGTGATCTAATTTGTTCTGTTAATAACCCAAACTGAAGAATGAGATATAAAGTCTTGAAATAAATAATATTGAATATTTCAGTTTGTTTATAAAATGAATATGTTTTATAAAAAAGCTCAGGAAGAAAATTGTTATAAATGTAAAAACTTAGATTTTTAAACTTCATTAATAATTTTAGGTAGTTAAATGCAAAAATGATACTGATTTCATTTAAATCCTTTTTTAAATGGAAGTATAGGTAGTCTTCGAGGTATGTCCCTAATGGAGCCTTCTCTTTAGGGTTGTAAGTCAGACGTATTTGTTATGACTTCTTTTTTTTTAACCTCTGTTCTCTTAGTCACTCATGCCCTGATCACCTCCCAAAGGGATTGCTGTAATATACTCTACATTTGGCTGCCCTTGAAGAATATCAAATGAAGGAGCTAGATTTAAAGCCAGGTTATCTGAGGACCGCCTCTCCTCATCAGGTTCATCAGGAAAGGCATGTTGTGGTTATTCTAGTTGGTTAGGGAGCTTCACTTGATGGACCTCCTATTCAGGCACTAATCTGGCTCTGCTTATCTATTTTGAGATCATCCAAAAAAAGTCTGTGACATTTTTAAAAAAATGACATATAGAATATTTCGGCATTCTCCCCAATGTGTTTTTCTCTGGAAAAAAATGGAGGAAAATTTGATCGCATCAACATTTCTGGAAATTTTCTCTCAAAGAAAATTGAGGTGAACTCTCATTGTTGTTTGTCATACAGTCAGCTAGATGTTCAGACTAAATCTGCCATTTTATCCACCTATCGAGTCTTTCCCGAGGACCTGAGATAGGCAGGTGGATGTTTGATAGTGTTAAAAAGTATTGTCACAGGATGTAAGCTGTTCTGAAGATGATACCATTAAATACCCACATATGCCTATCCCAGGTCTTTGGAAAGGACTCATTAGGTGGATTAAAAATGCCAGTCCAGTCTGAACATCTGGCTGATTGTGTGATGAGCGATGATAACAGTATTATTTGCTGCCCATCTCGCAGTTTGAGGTAACTGAGAGGCTTACAATGGGATAACCCATTCCTGATTACATTTTCATGTGAATATCTACATAAACACACATTCTATGCTGGTGGCATCTTAATAGAAATAATATTCTGCTCAATAAAGATTTGTGTAATGTACAACTAGTACAGCATCATTGCTCCTAGGATGGAAACATGCTAATGGTACTTTTGCTTTACTTCACAGTGAGTACTGCACCGCAGCCCAAACCAGTAAGTTTGATTATTTCTGCTTTTTATATTTAGATGATACATAGTGGGAGACAATCTGATTATCATTAGCTGTGGCTGGGATTTTAGATTTTAGGATTTAACAGATTTGGACTATGCATCTTTCTTAAAGGAAAGAGGTAATGGATTTCATTTTAATAGAATACTTTTTCTTGTCACAAAGATCTTTTGGGCTATCACTTACTAAAGCCGGAAGAAGCTTCTTCCTCAACTTTGATGAGATTGTGGAGAAGATCAGCAATATGTTGTCAAGAAATAAAGCAACTTCTCTCTTTAAAGCAGTTAAATCCTCATGGAAATGAAATATTCCTTCAAAAATTTGCACAGCTCTATAACATTTTTACTTCATGAACAAATGGTGGTTCTTTTTGTAACCATTGGCAAATAGAAGACAGTTATTAGGAATTAATAGAATTAGGTAGAATTGGCACTCCACAAACAAAGAAATAGTGGTACAATTTAACAGTTTTGTAATTTTCAATTTTTAATGAAAACTGTTAATACTTGAAATGGTGGCATTAAACCAGGGATCCCCAACCTCTGGGCTGTGGTCCACTAACGGGCCCTGAGCCCTCCAGAATTGGACCACGGAGGGGGCAGGTGAGTGCACATACATGTGCATTCTTATTCATGGAAGCAGTGAGTGAATGTGTTTGCGCATCCTCACTTGCGCAAGCAGTGAGGGATGCATCGTGCATGCTCATGCCAAATCAACCCCTTTGTCCTGCCACTCCACAAAGCTTAAAGGTTTGGGGATCTCTGCATTAAACCACCAGTAGGTAAACCAGCTGTCGCCACAGAGGCTTTCCATGTAGCATCTTTGTTATAGTGTACTTAATAGCCAATGAAATTATGAGAACAGGAAAGAGATTGAAATAAAGCTGAACTTTACAATCTAAATGATGCCTGCTTAGATGGAAGTATGTTCTGTTGAACCCAGTGATATTTCTTACTAGTCATTACTAGTTTTCAGTGTATCTCTCTTTAATGATTGGTAAGGAATTTCCCTTTTATTAGTTATAGGTTTGAAAAAAGGCCTACTAAATTATTATTGCAATAAACAGTAAACTCATTAAAGGTAGCTGATTTGCATTTATCTTTTAGGCTGACAAAATGTCCAAAAATAAGAAAAAGAAATTGAAAAAAAAGCAGAAACGACAAGCAGAACTGTTGGAAAAGCGAATACAAGAAATTGAAGAGATGGAGAAGGAATCAAATCCTCTGCAAACTGAGTCTGAAGAACAACAAGAAGTGGAGAGACCAGTTGAGCTAATTTTAAAAGAGAGCCCCCCAGATGAGGGGCTGCCAGCAAAGACAGGTATTGATCTCTAACAAAAAAATGTTTTGGATCAGCTTATTATTCTAGTCCTGCATTCTTTGAAGCTGAGCAGGTCTTAAAAATAAAGATTTGGATTGATAAAAGTTTCAAGAGATTTGGAATGATACAAATTTTAATTCGCTAAATTAAATTTTCCTAACATGTATAATATGTTTAAACCTAAGTAATATTCAGACCATCATTATCTCTGGGCCCAAACTATAGGATGGTGATGGAGAAAAATGATGAGAAGGAAGAGTTATTTACCTCTTGAAAAAAAAAAAGATGGGATATCAGCAGCAGTGATAATAATTTTTTAAAAAATGGTTGACTGGCCTGTATTTCCAGTTGTCCCTTATCAGGATACATTGTGATTCCTTTTGTGTCTGTTCTTCTCTTGACCTATAAACATTGTTTCTGTTTTTCTCTTTTTTTCAGAGCAAAGTAGCTTAATGGAGGGAATCGAAAAATGTGTAACAGAAATCAATTGCAATGGATTGGTGCAAATTTCTACCTTCTCGAAATCCATCGATCAAGTGTCTGTGAAACTCGAGGATGACGTTCATAATGCCAATGATTTCACTGGCCCTTCTCAAGACCAGGAAGAAGAGAGCAGTGCTTATAGTCAAAGCAATGGTGGTTCAGAGAACCTAATACAGGAAGCAATATCACAGCTTCCTGTACCCTTAATTTCAGAGGTTCTGGATTCAATGGTTTGTCAGGAACCCACATATGAAGAACAGTATCTAAATGCACAGCAGATCATCCAATTGCAAGAAAGCATCAGGTCAGAAATTCCTTCAGAAGATGAGAATGAAAATAATGGGTCTTCTGAAAACAGTAAAGGTACAGCACATTGATTCTTTGTCAGAAATAAATTTTTTTTAAGGAGAATATTCTTTTTAAAAAAATATGTAACAAGCTGCTTAGAGTTGCCTCAAACTATAAGATGGGTGGCATACTTTTAATTAAAAAACCCTAATATTTCATGGTTATATAGATTTTTTTCTAAGCACTTGCCACATATGAGTTTAATCTTATAAGGCTCTTGTACAGCATGTTAATATTTTTAAAATTAGACCATTTATAATCCATTATTTGAGTTTGATATGTTTTGTTTAATTACACTTTATTGCATTTAACAAAATCTATAGTTAGTCAAAAATGGAAGGGGATTCCTTGACTTAAGGAGATTGCCTAAGCAAGCTTGATTTCCACTATGGTTTATAGCTAAACCATTGTTTATTGTGATTTCTGAACCACATCATTGGCATGAATTTTATGAAAAATGTTCCAAAGTTATTTTGACAAAATGTATCTCCAAATTGCATTTTTATTGTAAGCTGCCCAGAGGCACTTAAACAAGATGGGCAATGTAGAAATGAGATGGGTGGGTGGGTGGGTAGGTAAGTAGGTAGGTACAGTAGGTAGAACATGATTGAGCTAATTAATGTTTATGCTGAGTCTAGAAAAAGCTGCTGCTGGAAATTTCCTCCTTAATCCGCTTGAACCTGGGAATGCAGATAAACTCAAAGTGAAGATAGCTGATCTAGGAAATGCTTGCTGGGTGGTAAGTTTACTATCCTTTCCCTATTGAATGCCAACATTGCTAATTTTGCAGTTTGCTGGAATGAACATAGTTATCATTTAAAATATATTAATAGGCTTCTGCAAATGCAAACATAATTTGTTCATAGCTCTTAACTTATTCTGTGTCCCTTTGAGTAGAACAGTTCTTTCCCATACACATTTTCAAAAGATTTTATTGGACAGAATGTAAGTAGAACTGTTAGAATTTCACCCTAAATTTGTACTTTAAAGTGATACCAAATTTCAGTCCAACATCAGAAATGAGAATTCCAGCATCTGTGCCCTCAATTTGGAAAAGGTATCTTATATCTGCTAGCAACCAGATTATTGTGGTTGCTATAAGCAAAGAGGTATTAGTTCTGTGGATAGCATAGGTGGAATGGCAAGATCTTTTTCCCCACTTTTTATTTTGGGCTGTACTGTATTTAGAACATTTAACTTTTTACTCAGAACTGAAAATAAATAAAAGTGGATGGCTTTCCTGAAGGCTATTGTATAGCTACCCTGCCTCATTTCTGGATTTGTATGAGGCAATATTCTGCTTATTATCTATTTGAAACTATTCAGTTTTCCTGTATAGATTAAGGAAGAAAAGATGGAGTATCTTCCGTATTCTAGAGGTGGTTATTCAGATTCAGTGTGCATGAAAGGATTTCAAGACATCAAAAACCAATAAATAGCATATTTCTTTTTGAAAAAATACTGGTTTAAGATATAGCAGTGGAATGGCCTGCCTTGAGCCTCTCTAGCTGTGCTTCTAGGGCTTGAAAAATGATGGAAGAGGACATTGCTTGCTTGCTGTCCTCAGTGTGTGGCTTTTTAAAAAAAAACAACTTCAAACTGTTCTGCTTTTAAAAATGTAAAGTTAAGTAGTTGCAATTTATTTTAAAAGAGAAAGACAGACAATTTGGGTAAATGATTAAAACAGCATCTTAATGGAAACTATAGTAGATACAATGACATACATACATTTATGAGAGAACATAAACAGAATAAAAAGTAGGTAATTCTTTACCACCTTTTTCCCTGGCTACATTGCTAGTAATGCTATGGATCCCCTGGACTTTCATTGATGCCACCAGTGAACTTTGTGGGATTTAGGTTTTTTTTTTCAAAGGTATAAAACTGGTCTATAAATATACAGAACAAGGCTTTCCCAGATGTGTATTAGAATCAAAATCTCTGCTCTCTCGATTTATATTACAAGTGAGTCAGATCATCTTAACTTCCCTCTTAAATTTTAAAAACTAGAAATTATAGATATACTTCTTACCAATCATAGACCTTTGCTTCATGTTTAACACATTTCTTCTACAGCATAAACATTTTACAGAGGACATTCAGACAAGGCAATATAGAGCTTTGGAAGTACTGATTGGAGCAGGATATAGCACTCCAGCTGATGTTTGGAGCACTGCCTGCATGGTAAGCTCCTAAACCACTTGTACAATGTTGATTCACAATTTGGTAGGAGTCTGTAAGTCCGATCACAAAAAACTGACTTAATTTCTACAGTGGTGGTTCATTTTATGTTGTATATCACCCTGAAACCTGATATGCTGAAAAGCATTATTTGGATTACTTTAAATACTTCCTTTAACGGAGCACTTCATTTAATGAATTTTTTTCATTTTAATTTTAAATCTGACAAGGATTCAAATCTAACATTCAAAATCACTTATAAGTCTGAAATCCAGTTAATAATTATACATTACAGAGTAGTTAGAATTATACTTCAGTACCTAGATCATTTACAAATAATTTTTTTCCTGAAAATTATCTGTCATTTTCATCTTCAGGCCTTTGAACTGGCTACAGGTGACTATTTGTTTGAGCCTCACTCTGGTGAAGATTATTCTCGGGATGAAGGTGAGAGCTACACAAGAACTGTGTTAAGTAGCAGAACCAGGATAGTAAGAAAACCAGAGAAATATATGGGTTTTTTAAAAGAAAGTCAAATTAAATTCTATATTTTTTTCAAGTATCTTGGAGAATGTTAAAATTTGGCTATAAATTAGAAGCATGGATAGCAGAATCAATTTCTGTGATTTTGCAGTAATGGTCTCAGCAATATTTATGTCTGTATTAAGGACACACATTTAGCACATACATATATTACAATACGTATTTTGTGAAGTTTGTTTCACATTGCAGAGTAATGTGGGACAAAATTATAAATAGAGCCATGCAAAGTGATATGAGCCATAAAGAGACAAACTCAGAGATTCCCTTATAGACATTCAGTCTACAAAAATGCCTTAAACTACATTTCAGAGTGCAATTAAATGGGTTCAGACCCAGGTTTGATTTTAACATATCGATCGCTACCCGTATTTCCCCGAAAATAAAGACCCGGTCTTTTGGGGGGGGGGGGGGGCTCCAAAATAAGAACTAGGGCTTGTTTTTGAGAAAATGAGATATCAGGGTGATCAGCCTGGCTGGGTGCTCTGCCCCCGGTGTGTGCACAAGAAGCGGCAAGCGTGCGAGATGGTATCTGGCAGCAGCCCGCCAGTCTCTTGGTTAGGGCACTCAGGCTGTGCAGCCCATGCAATGCAGGTGAATTGATTCCCTGTCCAAGCAGCACACAAAAGCAGAGGCGGGGGAGGGGGGGGAGACAGGCAATCCAGAAGTATTGCACGGGCTGTGGGAAGGCCGAGAGACATGAAGACAAGCCGCCCACCCGCTCTGATCCACTGACTCAGCTTTCTCCCAGCCCATACGCATCTGGATCACCTGCCTTCCTCCCTGTGCCTCTGCCTCCATCTGCTGCCGGTGTGGTATGTGAAGACAAACCTCCTGCAGCCAGCCGCTGCTCCAGTCCACCGACTTGCAGCTTTCCCGCAGCTTGCGTGGTACGTCCAGATCACATGCCTCTCTGCCTGCTGTTTGAACATAGAATCAACTCACCTGTGCTGTGTGGGCCGCGGCTGGACACGGTCCCCACATGCTCTCTGCCTCATGTGCTGGCCATGCTGGCCTCTCTTCACTAGGGCTAATTTTTGGGGTAGGGCTTACATTATGAGGATGCTTAAAAATTAGCCTAGGACTTATTTTCGGGAAAACAGTATGTGTTGCTGCTTATCTTAAAATTCTTGCTTTTAATTTGAAGGCCATGCAGTAGAAATTTCATTGGTTGAAATCAAGCACATTGAATTACTCTAGCAGAAAAATATTAAATGGGAATCATAATTTATGTTTTACTTATTAAAATGACTCACAACTACTAAAAAGCACATGTTAAACAATCCAGAGCAATATTTTCTGGACTCTGAGGCTTCAGGAAAGCCATGTTTATGAGATTTCCACATATTATGTCTTTTTGCTACATTCCTTCATCCATAGAATTTACAAAGCTACACATCTAGTCCCAGGATTCACAATAAAGTCAGTATGAGTTAATTCTAAGTTTTATGGTCTCTTCCTTATTTTCTCCCTGGAAGCACAGATCATATTGCATTGATTATAGAACTTCTGGGAAAAATACCTCGTAAGCTCATTGCAGCTGGAAAATATTCCAAGGAGTTTTTCACCAAAAAAGGCAAGTTGGAAAATAATTTGACTATTAAGATTTTATTGTAAAGTTTGTTGTCAAGTTGTATTGTGTTTATGAGACATTTCAAGAACACATTGTTCAAAGTACAATGAAATTGATTCTAGCCTGCTCCCGTCTGTCTGTCTAGTTTTATTTGTGACTAGATATCCCAAATAACAAAGTACAAATATAGCATTAAATTTGGTTAGATGAAATAGTTATTTTATTGCTAAATAAAATTATTAATAAAAGAGTATCCAGTATTTACTTAATGTAAACAATTAAGATACATAGGAAGCAGAAAAGTGTAATACATTTGTAATTTATTCCAAAAGTCACAGGTGAACATGGAACTTGGGCTTTTCTATTAATTCCTGTACTAAATAACTCCATAATTTTTGCTTATAACGCAATAAAATCCTAAAGTCTAACCCCGGAATACAAATAATCAGAATCAATGCCAATCTGAATATCTCTTTGGTCAATTATTTAAACTATGAATTTACAAAAGAATCATTTGTGATTTCCTTGTGATTTCAACCTTTCCTTGGTTTTAAAGACATGTACCTACAGCTTACTAGCATTTACCAGAGTTTTTGTTTTCAAAGGGCATTGTCCAGTTTCAAGGAGAATAACAGTTTCAATCACAATTTGGAACATTTAAAAAAGATCTTAAAATCACCTGCAGGTGGGCTGTTATTACTAACAACCGTAAATCCAAATTGCAGCTCCGTAGAAAATTTGAGATGCAGTTTTTGCACTAAGTACCTGTATTTGGTACATGGACAGATGTCCATCCTTTTGAATAAAAATATTCAAGCAGGACCAGCATCGTTAGTAGTTTTTGCTTTTAGAAGTATTGCCTTGCAATGATGTTGTCAGGGCAGAGCGTGGTTAAATAATATGGCCCAGATAACTAAAATTCTCATCACAAAATCTGGAGTTTTTTAGCTTTTTGATCTTTTTTTCTCCAGAATTTTAATTTTATCATAGTTGATTTGTGGTTGATCTTCTTGGTAATACTTGCATAGTGTGTCGAGTAGGTTTTTCAACCCAATCCAGTACATGAAAGAAGAGCAGCATTAATTCTATACAACAAAGCACAAATTTTTATTTTGTTTATAATGGGCAGTAGCAATTGGCCTCAGGTAATAGAAATTCCAGATTGTTGATATAGACATTAAATAGCACTGAGGCCAAAATACAAGTCTTGTCTTATTCCTTTTGTTGCTTGTAAATAAAACTTTATGTTGCATCTAACCTACGTTATACTATCATAATATAATGCCCATATTAAAAATGCAAGATGCTGGACAGGAAACAAATTCTTTAATTTAACCCAAAGATTGATTCCAATAATAGGTAATAATTAATAGGTAATAATAATTACATAGCATTTCTGCTTAAAATATGTTCTGGTATGCAGAGCTATCTGCCTGTCTCTCTACCTGCATAATGCAAATTATGAATTTTGGAGCAGAAAAAAAAATGTTTCTTTGATTTTGAAATGCATCTTTTAACTCAGTTCTGTTGTACTTCTGTTTTCTGTTGGCCTTTCTGCGTGTATTGTATTAATCTTTCTGTTATTATCCACAGGTGATCTGAAGCACATTACCAAACTAAAGCCATGGGGTCTCTTTGAAGTATTGGTGGAAAAATATGAATGGTCCCAAGATGACGCAGCTGCATTCACAGACTTCTTATTACCTATGCTGGAGCTGAATCCTGAAAAAAGAGCTACAGCAGCACAGTGTCTCAGGCATCCCTGGCTCAACCCCTAAATACTCCAGTCTGATACGGTGGCCCCCTCATTGGGTTATGGAATAAAAAATATAAACACACACACACACACACACACACAAACACACCCCTAGATGTCCCAGCCGTCCAGCCGTCCCTTTTCCTTCTTCCAGGTCAACTTTTTCCTTGTTGATTTTCAGAGTGAAACTTCTCCTTGAAGGCTTTTTAGATTTTAGATAAATCTAACTGTTCATGTGAGATTGTGTATTTGACTTGGTGGGGACTATTATTAGCCAGTGGACATCCAATATTATTTGCAGTGATTGGAGTTTGCCAAAGAATTTTTATGGAAATGTGAAATTATTGCATAGTCTCTTCCTTACACAGATACCTTACCTTGAAGGAAATCTTCTTGGGAATATACTCCCTTATTAAGTATATTGCAGTCATCCCAAGGGGGATGTGAAGAGCTTTTGAATCCCTCCTTAGCTCACTGACTCTGGGAGTCATTTCTTAGTGCACATTCAGATGCTGGCAGTAAGAGGAAAAGTAGCAGATGGCACCAAGGTGGTAGCTCCATGAGGAGCACTAGACTCAACTAAATCCTTAGGTGTCTGCTCTGCTGCTTGGATAACTTTTTTTCTTATTTTTTGGACATACTTTTCTTTAGCCATTGAATCTTTTGAAATTATTTACATATATATATATATATTAAAAAAAACTTACACATATATACACACATGCCATTTTTGATCTTTGGTGCTCAGGGTAGTTCTGAGTCCAGTGAACTTAGCTCTCCAAAGGTGAGCCACATAAACCTTAATAAATTTCACAAGGGAAATAAAAACGAAAGGATGTGGTAAAAGTAACCATTTCTGCAGTATGGATCTATGCATTTATTGCCTGCAGAGGGGAGTCCAGAGTACCTGAATTCTATGCCAGGTCTGTCCAATAAATAGCCTTGGGCAATATGTCATTGCCAGCTTGATAATGTGGCACAAGAGTGCTTGATAAAACATTTCTGCAACCCAACCTGGAGTTTAAAAGTAGGCATATACCAAGTTTGTGGCGGTCCACTTGTTACATAGGTCTCCTTTATGCCATTGGTGTCATATTGGCCATGCGTGAAATTGTATTTTTATTAGAGAGCAGTTCTCAGAAAGATAGATTATATCCTTACTGTAAAATAAGGAAAGGTGGTATTAGTGCTATCTTTTCAGCCTTGCTATATGCCCAGACCTGGAACCAACAAATGTTAATGAATGTAATGTTATCAACTGTGTTAACTAGTCTAGAATGCTAGACTTCTAGAAAGTAACTTTTTAAATAGAATGCTGTTTTTATTTATGTATTAACTTCAGGACAAATAGTCTTAATTTTTTTCCAGTAGAGATGAAATGACAAATTCTGTTCTCAAAATCATTACAAAGATGCTGTTCAAGAATATATTGTAACTTTTAAACTCTGAGAAGAACTGGTTGTGACTGAATCTTATCAGGTTTTTTTTTTAATTAGAAAAGTATAAAACATTTGTTAGTTTTACAGTAAGCACCTCCTAAACTATCCCTGGTTACTTTCTTTTAAATGTCTCCTGTATTCAGATGTAATGATAGGTTTGGGGTGGCTAGGATTTCAATTGCCTTCCTAACAATGGACCAAATAGACTTTTGAAATTAGAACATTCTCCAAGGCTGTAAAGTGCTAGAGAACAGATACATTTCAGGCACTGTTTGGGACAATTCAGTGCATATGCCAGTAGCAAGATCATTCACTGTTTGGCAAATCCCGATCTAGAATCTTTTTAAGATGCATCCCTTTGCTGAAAAAAAAAATCTGGTTAGCGTGTGTTAACATAGCACCATATCTTCTTTTTAATTTAGTCATGTAACAAGACTGGGATTTTAGCAAAACGTTTCCATTTAGAAAAGCTTCAAGTTCTCTGTGCATAATCTTAAAAGGAAAAAGAAAAATGTTCCAAAAGTTTTACTTTTATTCACATTATTTGGGGTATCTTGCCTCCCAAAAGCACTTCTGTGCCTGTCTGTAAAAAGATTTAGGATAGAACTTAGAATGTATGTTAGTACTTCCTCTCTGCATACTGTGACGACATTCTGGCAAGAAGAATTGAACTTCTGGTGACAATGTAGCCTCATTTGCATACCTTGACTGTCTGACTAGAACAAGAGACATCTCTCTCGGTTGTAATAAAGGCTTATTCTCCAAGGAAGGAGGCTTCTCACAGCTCTTTTGCACTAAAAGAGACCTTCTGAGATAGGATGAGTGATAGTAGCTTGTCTGGATTGTCTGCGTACTTTGTAGTTCACATCAGGTTCACTCAACTTCCAAATTGCCATAAAGTGCTCACTAACCAATTTGTACTTGTTTTCTTGACCTAAAACTAGAAGGAAAATACATTTTTATTCTTTCTATTGGGTGTATTGTCTTTTTTTCTTTGTAAATAACGCACAATAAACAGATTATCCAATAATCCACAGATACTTTGGATATGCTGTCTATGTTCACCTGCAGTGTTTATCGTAGAGCTCTTATCAGAAATTATGTGAAGTATACATGGTTTATGCATGCTAAGCATAAGCATAATATAACTTGTTGAATAAGATCAAACCAGTCACAAAGTTAAGGATGGTATTTGAACCTAGTCAGTGAAAAAAATATGAGCACTACTGATGCAATTCTATGAGTGTTAAATGTAGTTTTGTAAGTCATAATGATAGGAAGAAGGAGAATATTTCGTTTCCAACTCCTATAATGTTTCTTACTTTTTCTGCTCTTTATTTTTAGTCAAATTCATCATCAGAGCGGTACTTAGACCAGAGTGAGTTGAAGAAGAAAAAAAGCAGGGAAGTTAAATGCAACTAATCAACTACATTTAAGAAAAACAGTTCTCTGCCTGAGGCTATTTCTTTTTCTTTTTTGTAATGAACTCTGTATGCACGCAGAGGTGCTTAAGCTCTTGCTATTTCTCCACATACACACTCTAGGAACAGGAGAAGCAGCAGAGCCTGTGTCCAGAGAGGGCAAACAGAAATGAAGGCAAATGGAGGAAGGAAAGCAATATCCTTCCATTTCCAGAGATGATCAGGTGAATTGTGTGAGAAAGCCGGGATTCTGAACTCTAAAGAAATATAAGTTAGGAGCTTCTTTTAATGTTTTTAAAATTGCCAACACTAATGAATATGATAGAAAGTCAGCTGACTTAGTGGTATAGGTTTATTAGAGTGCCATACATATGACTGTCAATTGGGCATAAACTGAGTTTATGTTTAATGCAGTGAGCCTTTGATTCTTGCAACAAGTCTGCCTTGAAACCAAGGTAGCTGAGCTGATCCTTTGAAAGCTACAAATCAGATCTTAAATATAGCATCTCATTTCTAGGTTAATAGATTCCTTGAAGTCAGTGAAATGAGTTTACTGACAGCATTTCTAATACTTTCCTGAGGTAAAGGGAGGGTGTACTCACAGGAAGAATTCAGTCCTTGGATGATGAACTTCTACTGAGGGGAGCAGCAGACTATAGGTTGTAGATGAATTAAGCATTAGAAATAGAAGAGATAAGTATAGTGCTTGTGGACTTTGCATACAGGTAGTCCTTGACTTAGCCCAAAATTTCTGTTGCTAAACAAAACATCTGTTAAGTGAATTTTGACTCATTGTACGACCTTTTTTACCACAGTTGTTAAGTAAATCACTACAGTTAATAACTTGGACGATTGACTTTGCTTGTCTGAAGGGGATGACTTGACCCTTGGGCACTGTACCCATCATATGAGTCCATTGCCAAGGGTTTGAATTTTGATCACATGACCATGGAGATGCCTCAACAGTCATAAGTGAAAAAATGTCAAGTCACTTTTTTCAGTGCCATTGTAACTTTGAATTGTCACTAAATGAACTGTTGTTAAGTTGAGGATTACCTGTACTGTGCAAATAGGTTGTTGGATAGTATCCAAAACAATAGTCCACATTGGAATTAATTGATATTTCATTAGTTGGCCAATTCTGAAAACCAAATGTAGGCAGCTAAATAGCACATTAAGGTCCAGGACTGATTAAATATCCTTAAAAACATCTGTTCCATGGATCAGCTAAAATGACAGATTGGAAGTTACAGTACAAAGGTGAAACAGTGGTGCCAAGGAAATCATTTACATTAGGCATGAAGACATTTTGAACAAGTCGAACCTGCAGAAGAGAGACTCCACGTGAACCAGAGTAACCGATAGACTAAAACATCAAGAAGATAGAACAGTTCTTAAAACATTCCCAGTTTCCTGGGAAAATTTACCAGCATGAGGTTTAGAAAAGTAGATGTGGATGTTTCAAAAAAATCCTGTAAGTGATTGTCACATTGTTGAAGGTGAGTTAATAGAACAAGTGCCATGAAAGATGCAAACCAGCAATATTTGAAAAAAGACAGTTAAGCTGTTTCTAATCTATGCCAAAGGCAGAGGATCAGAGCCATTTAATTAAATCTGTGTTACAAATGATAACATGGAAGATGTAACAAATCCAGTGGAATGGTGTCATGGCGATACGGTCATCCATGATGGTGACCTTTATAAAAGGATAGAACTGAGGTGTGTGGGGTAGTCTGTGTCATAGAGGGTATATAATGTATTCAAAAGCTTTGAAAAATCCATAGCTTTTTCAGAATTGCTTTGTAGCAGATGTAAATTAGATATACAAATATACCTTCACCCCTTTATTGAAATGCAGAGAATAACCATGAATAAGATCTTGGTCCAAAAGCTCCAAGTTGTAACTCCTACATACAACCTAACTTTTTTCAATTCATACAAGTGAATTGACGGGACAAGTGAATTAACGGGGATTGTACTCCATTGGTTTAAGGAAAGCAAAACCCTATGTACCTATGTATCTGGGGGGAAAATCCAATTCTGATGAGAAGACTTGGGCAGTTGCTATATGTACTATATACAGACATTTGAACAGGACTCACAAGAACTAAAGGGTTACATTTTCCCGAAGTAAGAGTTTGCAGGGCAGCCATATGCCTTTTATAATGTTAAACTAGCTAAATGGCTGCAATATTTAATTCAGTAAAATATTTTGAGGTCTATTATTATCCAGATCTATTGAGCCCCGCAGTTATAGAACAACATGATTGCAAACAGGATGTGGAGATCAAACCCAATTAATGTCACGCTGAACAAAATTTATTTTGTCAATAGTCTCTTCTGGAAAAGGACACACTGTTTTTTGCAGAATCGCTCTTGTATTACACAGACTGATGTGTCTAGATAACTGGCAGAATCCACATTAGCATTCATGTGTATCAAGCAGCTTTTCTGAGTCCAAGATCATGTTGGAGTGCTCAGTATTCAAGGGCAGAAGTAAGTACACTTGTGATTCCTTCAGTATTCATCTTCATTTATTTTCTTCCTCTGTAGGACAAAAGAACATGCCATAATAATCCAGAAAGTCCCATTTCCCCTCCCCATTTCTCCAAAAGCAGCTAATGAAATAATAACCCTTCTTTCATGGTCTTCAAATTTGGCCACTTTAAGATGATTTCAATTCCCATCAGGGCTGGCTGAGGAATTCTGGGAGTTGAAGTCCTACATCTTAAAATAACAAAGTTTGGTCTAAATAGAAGCTGTGATGTCACATGCTACACATAGGATAGAATTTGCCATTAGCACTTGATCAAGTGTGTTGATTTTGTTGACCATGCTCGACTATGATTATAAACCCAGGGAAGAAAAGCTCTGCTTTGGAGTAACTGACTTCAACTGTATTAGCATGGCAATGACAATTAGTGACAACCAGGTCAATTTTATATGTGTCACTAAAGAAAGAGTGAGTAACATCTCCCAGCTTGAGGGCTCTACCAAGTTTTTTACAGTATCCTGAAGGCCGTTCTCTGAAAGTTGTAGAGACTATTTTTAATTCGTTACATTTTGAAGTTTTGGTAATAACATCCCCAATAACCGGTTCTATGTCTGCTGATGTTTTTGCCCACCCACCCACCTGAACTCTTACCTGATCTTTATTTCCTGATTTTTCAACTTCAGCTGCCGAACGAGGCACAGCTGCAGTTAGAAAAGCAGGAAAAGAGGGCTGTTTCAAAGGCTGCTTCTCTGCAGGCAGCTGCTGATGACGATTTACAGGCGCGTGGCTCGCAGCCTGCAGGGAAGCTTGTAAATCCCGAACCGGTTGTCAACTCTGTCGTATTCCCACCCCTGGCAATAACCTTTTCCTTCTTCAACAGAGGGCACTGTGAAACCAGTTTTTTCCATCTTTTCTGATATTGAGAGAGAGAAATTACTATTGCCAGGCAGTAACACAAGGGC